CCATTAGCAGCGGACCCGTCGGGGCGCACAAGTGGACACAAGTGATAAAACATTCCGTTCGCCTGACTCGCTGTCACGAAAGACTTGTCACCTCGCCCTGTTGACATGGGGATAATGCCACGGCGCTTTTCAGTGAGACGCACCTTTGTCGGGGCGGCTTTTGGCAAGACACCTCTCTCCTCCCAGAGATAAAAGTTAGAAACTATAATATTTTTTTTAAAACGTAACATTCGGCAAGTTATACTGTATTTTGATGAGACGATTTGCTATCCCGAAAGCAAACACAAACAATAGGTACTGTACGTTATTTTTTCTGATTTTTTTGAAAGTCTTACCGGTAGATGATAAAAAAAAACCATACAAAAACAGCTTCATTAATTGTGCACGGATAAAAAGAATGCGTTGACCCAACAGAAGAGTCCACGTTAATTTCACGTGTTGTTTCAATGTTTCCGTGATGAATAATTTGTTGGCACAACAATCGGTTGACGGATCCCCCCCCCCCCAAAAAAAAAAAGGTAAAAAAATGAGACTGTTTTCCTTTAACGTTTTTTTTTTAAATTGTCAGATCAACGAGTTCATTTGTGTTTGCGAGTCCTGAAGAAAGCACGTGTCAGCGTGCCGGCAAGACCCACCTAGACCCACCGAGGGCGTTCAGGGCAGTCGATACGTTGTATCAGCGCCGGCGCGTCGCGGGCGGAGCGGGCCGACCGGGTCTGTCTACACCCGAGTCCACACTCGGTAATTGCCGGGATAACGCCCTTCGGCCTTCGGCTCGGCCCTGTGAACGGTGATGCGGCCCAGACGAGCCAAGACAAGAGGATGCAAGGCGGTGGGGCCGGTGGGGCGCGGCATGGCGGGGGGCGCAGGGAGATCGATACGCCGAACCACGCCCCACCGCGGAGCCCCCGCGCCCCCTCCCCCTCCACCCGGCATGCAGCTTTTGCCGAAAAGCGCCAACAAGAGCGGGCGTCTCGCTTCTCTATGTTTTTTTTTCGATGTGAACCCACTTGTGGGCTGGGCGGTGATTCGCGCCCCGGCAGCCTTGCGGCCTCGGCGGCCTCGGCGGCCTCGGCGGCCGGACCTCGCGGCGAGAGCAACGCGGCCCGTCGGGCACCGTCGCAAAGGGCTGCGGAACTGGGTCAGAACGGGTGCGGGCGGCGGCAAGGCACTGCAAGGCATGGCACGGCACGCCATGGCACCGCTGGTCAGCAGATCATTTTTGGCAGAGATGATACGTTCACGTATCAGCATGCTTATGATTTGAAGAATCTGCACGTGGGTGATTTCACCGACTGTGGCACTCAGTTTGCACTTCTGAGCTAATGTCTGCTGGTCCACGCCACCGGGTGGTTTTAGACATCTGATGTGTACAATATCCAGCATTCGCTTCCGTGGAAACACACCACTCGTGAAGTGCCTTTGTCGATACACCAGACCTAGCCGACATCTGAATAGTGTCCTGTTCTTATCTAATTTTATTTGAAAATTTAAAGGTGTTGCGTCTGCTAAAAATAGGGCCCTTCCTCGCTTTCCCACACAGTTATGTTGAAGAATCAAAGACATAGTCCAACGACCGTTACGAATGCCCACTCCAGAGGGGCGGTTGTAGCGCGGGGGCTGGTGCGGGCGGACTATCGCGGTGGAGGCGGGGGGGGGGGGGGTACTAGTAGTACTATAGTAGTACTAGTAGTACTAGTCTTTGACTAGTACGTTTAACTGCCAACTTAATACTAACTTACAAGTGCATACGTGGCCAAGTACACACTACAGCTAAAAGTCTGTCCCCGCAATCCCATGCCAAGCAGGCCCTTTGTAAGTGTGTGGTTGCCGGGAATGCATTTGTAAGGGTGCACTTAGTAGGCATAGGGTGCCCTAATTTCAGGGCGCACCTGGGTTCAGAGCCGAGCCGGCCTGTGGTGATTTGGCTCGGAATTACCCTTGGGACGGCCTTGAAAGCGAAGGGCGGGCGGCGCGGGCCCCTCATCGCATTGCCCTGCAACACGCCGCATCCACCGCTTGCGAAGACGCGGCTTTCGGGACGCAGGGTCCCGCGCAGGGCGCAGGGCGGCCCTCCGCAAAGTCAATACAACACTGCGTACCCTAGGGCCTGCACGGCCTGCACTGCTTGCTGTGGTCATGCCCTCTTCTTTGTGACGGGCCTGATGCGCACACACTATCTTCGGAGTGTGCGAGTGAGAGCGGAGCACCCGGCCTCGCGGGCCGCGCCACCGGCCTGGGTATTTGCTGGAATGCTGTTTCAAATCCCATGTAGACAGAGGGCTGACCTACTTCCAGCGGTTCCTGGCTGGGCTGGGCTGGCTGGGCTCGCAGGATTTGCAGGGCTCGCGGGGCTCGCAGGGCTCGCGGGGCTCGCAGGGCTCGCGGGGCTCGCAGGGCTCGCGGGGCTCGCAGGGCTCGCGGGGCTCGCAGGGCTCGCGGGGCTCGCAGGGCTCGCGGGGCTCGCAGGGCTCGCGGGGCTCGCAGGGCTCGCGGGGCTCGCAGGGCTCGCGGGGCTCGCAGGGCTCGCGGGGCTCGCAGGGCTCGCGGGGCTCGCAGGGCTCGCGGGCTCGCAGGGTCGCGGGGCTCGCAGGGCTCGCGGGCTCGCAGGGCTCGGGCTCGCAGGGCTCGCGGGGCTCGCAGGGCTCGCGGGGCTCGCAGGTCTTGCAGAGCTCGAAGGGTTGGCCCTGCCTCGTAACGGCCGTGTCATGGCCGAAACGTCAGCGGTTGATGTCTTTTTAGCTTCGTTAGTTTTCGTTTTGGCATGCCGTCAACGGGGATAACTTTGGACCCCGGAGGCAGTTTGAAGACTGTCCTATCGAGGGAGCTTCGTTTACTTGGCATCCCAATCGCTCGTCCCGCCTTGGGAGTTTGTTTCTGTGACACTCTCCAAACAAGTGGTGTGGCCGTTTTGCAATATGCATTCCATTCAACTCAAGTTTCCCATTCATTGGCGGCCGTCAAAGTCGGGAACTCGCTGGGCACCGTTCATCGCCACTCAAACTAGAAGCGGGGTGGGGGTAGCGTCGCGTCGGGGCACTGCGCGCAAGGGGAGGGGGGGAGGGGGGGGGAAGTCCCGTCGGCTGCCGTCCGTAGGCTGGCTGCACCGAGAGGAACGGTCGGCCTCCTCAGCTTGCTGGCAGCCACATCCCCACTCTTTTCAATTTTCAATAGGCTCGCTCTTCTAGCCCCTCCCCTCTCTCCGCTTCCCCCTCTGCCCCCTCTCCCTCTCCCCCTTCCCCTATCCCAACCCCCCACACCGCGGGAGCCACTTGAGCTACCGGCAGACTGTTGTTGAGTCACTTACTTTCAGAGAGCTGTCACGGAGGGACACATGTTTCCTTTTTTTTTCCCGATGCGATTGGTTCGCGCCGAGACGCTTTCCTCCCCGTTCTTCGCTGTGGTTCGCTGAAAGATGCAATTCCGGCGTCGACGTCGGCCCGATAGACTCGTCTGGGGCGCGAACAGGTTGAAATGCAACATGCCAGGCACAGTCAATCATCGTGCATTCGCAATTCGAATCGCGATCGGCAGTCGGGGACGATTCCACTTGTTGAACAGGAAGGACAGTTAGAGGACTCGCGTGAATCGCGCTGAAAGTTAAATGAAATGTCACTCGCTTCGCCAAAAAGTCTTGTCGAGTGTTGGTCGGACCCGAGAGCCTTGCCAAGTGTGGTGAGACAAAAATGTCTCGCGGCGGAACCGAGCCCTATCGATGATATTCTGCTGTCTCACTGCTTGGCACCTGCCTGAGAGTACGAGGAAGCTGTTCTCTTTGCTTTTCAGTATGTATAATGTATCATCCGTATCATCTGCGAAAAAGAACGGAGCAGTTCTGGTCAACAATTGGCCTGGACCAGGCGTGAATCCAGAAACGGGTCGAGGGGGGGGGGGTTGACACCCCCGTCGCCCGCCGTACTAGCCAACTTCGGAACACCGTGCGTGTCATTCGTTCCGGCTTCCATGAGTTTGGAACAAGTACGGATGTTCCGTACCCTTTGTCTGTGCTTCCTTACATTTTCCGTACCTCAGGATGGATGTCGACACTCCCGCATAAGAGACCCCCACCAAATTCACGCCAACGGGGAAGAATGAGGCAACTTTGCGTGGCCGGGAAAGACTGGGCTATCCTCTATCTTTTTGGGCACCACATGGCTCATTCTTCCCCGGCCGCGCGAACTTAGCCCAGTCTTCCCCGGCCGCGTGAAGTTGGCCCAGTCCTAGAGTGGAGAGAGACGTCCGAGGGGTACCTCACTTCGTCTAGTCAGTGTACACCCCTGACTCCAGTCACTGCCTTGTATCAGTCTAGTCACTGAAAAAGTCGGCAAAACCACGTAAATTTGTCCCAATTTTAGTATTTTTGCAACGCATTTCGTGATATTTTCAGTCTGCAAATGGAATAGCGAGGGGTAAACATTCAGAATCGTGTACAGACTACCGTTGCCGGGTATCAGGCGTGAATCCAAACGTGTTCGGGCCGGGGGACATCCCTTTGCCCCGTAAAAGGACTTCGGTACACCGGGGTATCACTATACGGTTCTGGTGTACAGGTTTACGCGAGTGGTTACCCTCGAATTGAGATACACCAGTCGTGTACACCTGTTTTCGAAGTGAGGTACCCGGAGACGTACCGCGCGTGAGGCCCGCCCTTGTCTGGTTCCTTACATTTCCCGTCCCTGGATGGCTGTCGACACTCCCGCATAGAGACCCCCCCATTCACGCCACGGGGAAAGAGGCAGCTTTGCGTGGCCGGACGACTGGGTAATTCTGTTTGGGGACCAGGCTCTTCTTCCCCGGCGCCCCTTTAGCCCAGTCTTCCCCGCCCGCGTGAAGTTGCCCAGTCTGCGCGAAGAGTGGCTAGTGACGTCACGGCTGAGCGAGCGCGCCCGCGGGCGTGTGCGTTTTTTGCCTCTTTGCTTGTTTGCTGCGAGCCAGGGCCGACAGCCAAGCGAAATGCGTTTGGTTGCCCTGTCCTGACTCGGCGCCGTCTCTGCTTGCAGGTGATATGGGTGTGCATCCTGTGCCGCAAGAAGCAGGAGCTGCTCAGCAAGACTGGCCAGTGGATCAACAAGGGCATGGTGAGCAGCCAGCAGGACTCCATCATGAGGCGCATCGAGGCGGACATGCAGGGCGGCATCCTGGCGGGGCTGTCCGCCGACAAGCGGCCCAAGCTGGAGCGCGCGCACTCGGCCGCCGAGAAGGAGAACCAGCCGCTGCTGGCGGGGCCGCTGGGTCTGAGAAGGCAGTACTCGCAGCAGGAGGACGAGCGGTACTACCGCGGCGAGCTGGAGGGCCTGATGCGCTCGCACCAGCAGCTGCAGGCCGGTGGCCAGCACGGCCAGCACGGCCAGCACGGCCACATGACGGGCCACATGACGGGCCACATGGCCATGGCGCCCCACCTGCCGCCCTACCGCCACGACTCGCTCTCCTCCGAGCAGAGCTCGTCCATGGACTCGCACGGGGCGCACGCGCACGCGCACGCCTACAGCACGCACGCCGCGCCGCACGGGCCGCACGGGCCGCACGGACCCCCGCCCGGGCGCAAGCAGCACAAGCGGCAGGGCTCGGCGAAGCGCGCAGTATCCCGGACGGCGCCGCACGCAGCGCAACACGCCGCGCAGCACTCCCCGCACATTGCCCCGCAGCGCTCCTTCTCCTCCTCGGACGACGAGCTCAGGTCCACGCCGGACTGCACCAGTGGCGAGGAGCACGACACCGAGAAGGGTGAGTAACAGCGTGTCAGCGTCTCAGTGCAACTTGTCAGTGGGGCGTCGCGGTGGGGCTATTTAGAGTGAGGTGTCGGTGTGGGGTGTCAGTGTGGGGTGTCAGTGTGGGGTGTCAGTGTGGGGTGTCAGTGTGGGGTGTCAGTGTGGGGTGTCAGTGTGGGGTGTCAGTGTGGGGTGTCAGTGTGGGGTGTCAGTGTGGGGTGTCAGTGTGGGGTGTCCGTGTGGGGTGTCCGTGTGGGGTGTCAGTGTGGGGTGTCAGTGTGGGGTGTCAGTGTAGGGTGTCAGTGTGGGGTGTCAGTGTGGGGTGTCAGTGTGGTATCTCAGTGTGACGTCTCAGTGTGGTGTCTCAGTGTGACGTCTCAGTGTGGCGACCCAGAGCAGCGTCTCCGTGCAGCGTCCGTGCTGACTGATTCCGAGGAGTCGTTTTCGTCGCTTGTCTCTCTCCCACTCGCGGGGCGTACCCTACAGGTGCGAGAGAGAAAGGGCGACGGAAACGGCTCCCGAAATCAGTCTGCAGTGTGGCGTCCCAGTGTGACGTCCAAGTGTGGCGTCTCAGCGCGACCTCAGTGCGACTTCTCATTGCGACGTCTCAGTGCGAAGTCTCAATGAAGGCGTCTCAGTGCAGCGTCTCAGGGATGCTAGGTGCATCGTTAGGTTAGGCTCGTTCAGTGCGTCGTTCGTGATAAGGGCGGCAATTATGACATTTCTTTGTCCACGCGTCTGTCCGGTGTCAGCCCCCGACTGCTGCAGCTCAGTTTTCGCGACCGATCGTTTTTCGGTGTCCCTGGTTCTTTTTTTGTTGGGGGAGGGGGGGGGGGCGATAATGACGTGCACATGCAGCCCACCCGCACTGCCACGAGCAGCGCTGGACATCGGCACGCCACAGAGTGTGTGGAAGAGGGACTTGCAGGGAAGCGGACCCTTCGACCTTTTGACCTTGGCTGCCGCCCGGAAGGTGGGCAACTCGTAGGTAAGAACGTCGTGCCTTGTCACTTGCTGTGTTGCACTGTGAGGACCACTGCACTCACGTGTGTGACACCCTTCCCCCTGTGTCGACACACCCTGTGGAGTCTGCACTTTGTGTGTGTACGTCCGGCACTCCAGCCTCCATCTGGCCGGTTGTCGCCGTGACCTTCCGATGACATTGAGAACAGGAGCCGCTGCGAACTGGATCGTCGCAAAAAGGCGAAACGCCGCCGCGATCGGCGAAAGTCGTTTTCACAATAAGTCCGCCCGGGAATTCCTGGATTTTTTTGCCGCGCCACTGCGCAGCGCGGCGCGGGATGACGCCAGTCAGGCACGGACAGAACATGAGAGCATTCGTTTATTGAATTCTGTTTTGTTTTCAATATACAAAACGCATAGGCACGTGGACAGAGTGGACTCTAGACGCGTCGTTTTATTGGAAAACCAAGTTCCGCTCTCTTCGCGCTGTCGCTGTCTGCGGTGGGTTGGGGGAAACCGAAACCAGGACCCGATAACACGGTGAGGGGCAGCCTGATTGGCTACAGGTTGGGTGTGAGTGAGTTAGCACGCTTGAGGGGAGAGGGCAGTGAAGCCAAGTCGAGATAAAAGCGAGAACCTGCTCGTGAAGATGCAATCACTGATCTCTGCGACCGCCACCGGGCCAAAGAAAAGGGGGAAGAGGAAGGGGGAGGGAGGGGGCACGCGGTGGGGCATTGGTGAACTTGACAATGCTGCACACCTCTTGGGCATAAGTAGGGGGTGTTTTTTCGGGGGGGTGGGTGGGGGTTGTCAGATGACTCCGGAATGGGTTATCTGCCAGCAGACAGTGTGTGTGTGTGTGTGACGCGATGATTCGCAGTGTCACGCGCTAGTGCTGGCGCGTGTGTCTGTGGTGCGTGCATTTGGTTTGTGTTTGTTTTTGCATTGGTGTGAGTGCGGGTGTGTGTGTGTGTGAGTGTTTGTCAGTCTGTCTGCGAATCTGTTTGTATGTTTGTCTGGGTTTGGGACACCAGCAATCACCGCAACAAGTAAACTGGGGAGGAATGAATGTTTATCACTGCATTTTCGGTACCGTTGCTCTATGGTCCTGTGTATGAGTGATGCACACGACCCTTGCTTTGCAAATTTTCAATGCAGGCAGTTCGTTATACCACTGTTTTCTTTACAGATTTGATTTTTTTTGTCTTCATCGCGATTGCACCGGCTCTCTCTATCTGTGTCTTTCTGTCTCTGATTCTGCCTCTCTCTCTCTCTCTCTCTCTCTCTCTCTCTCTCTCTCTCTCTCTCTCTCTCTCTCTCTCGCTCTCTATTTGTCGATCCGTCTGCACTGCCCCTCCCCGATGCAGCCAACAGCCAATCCCGACTGTCCGGTCCAACAGAAGTGGTTTCGTGGCCGGCCGGCGATTGCCGCTTCGAAGCAACGGCCCCGTGCGCGCAACATGTTGGCCTTTACCCTGTCTGTCAGTGACGTTATAAATTTGCAATCCAGTGCGTGCAGTGACAAAAAGTTCCGCGAGGGAAAATCAGCCGAGTACGGGGAACGCTTTGCCAACTCGATGGGGACCCGTTTCCCGCGCTTCGTATTTTTGACGCGAAAGCCCCTCGGGAAGAAGGCAAGGCGGGGACCGTTTTACCGTGTAGGTGCCGGCCTCATCCCTTAACAGGCTCATTGTCCGAAGCCCTGCGCGAGGTATGCGCTAGACCTGTCTGACCTTTCCGTGTCGTCACACAAGTTCCATCTCGCCGCCCTTCGTACCGATCAAGACGCCCAGCGGGGCGCCCAATACATTCCGTTTCCAGTTTCGGACTGAGACCCTCACACGCGTTGGCAATCCGCGGCCCTGGAGCCCTCGGCCCTGGAGTCCTCGATCCGACAACCAGAAAGAAATTCTCAGTAAGTTGTACCGAGGCGTCGAGAAAAGCCCGAAGAGTTGCGACGCGCCCGAGAAAGACACAGATAGTAATCCAGCAGCAACTGAGTCATACTCGGATGGGCCGATACACTTGGGTCTTTTCTGCGTGCGTCGGCGCTACTGAGACTCAGTCGGTATCCCCCCGACCCCACGCCCTTAGCCCTCCACGAGCTGCGCGCTGCTTCCTGGTCGTGGCATGCCAGGGCAAGCCTGGCCGTGGCTGGCCAAGCCTGGCCGTGGCATTCGGCCGAGGCATCTAGACAGCTGCACGCGGAGCCGCTCCCCCGCCCGCTTCCGCCAGCCCACTCTCAGCGGATCGCTGTCTGGGTTCCACTACTCATTCGCCCTCATGTCAGCTATGCCGCATGTGATTCATAAAGCGGAAGATCGGGATACTAACTCAATTACGCTTTGCGCCGAGCTGGAACGCTACATCAGCGTGTTACAGGTGCACTGTGAAACCAAGTGTGAACAACGCCACACTTGAAAATCGTCGATGTGGAATTTTCAGTCTCGACTGCGCTTGGAAGTACAGAGTTTGCAGTCTGCGCCCTTCAAGTGTGGCGCTGCCCACGCTCGCAATATGCGAAGATGTTGGGGCTCGGTGGAGCCTGTGAACTCCCCCGCACCAGGGAGTGTGGAGCCACACCTGATTTGGCAGTGTGGGGAGGTCAACATGGGCAGATGTAGATTCGTGACGAACCACCCCGCGGGAATCATCCCGCCTTTGTTTCATGGCACGGGCCAATTTTCTTTGGTGGTGCACCCGTGGGGTTTCCCAGGAATCAATGTACCGCGTGTTGAGTAGAAGCCCTCAGCACCAGCCTAAACTCCCTCGCGCGGTTCTTGGGACCAGGGTCGCGAGGACCCGCCATGCGGGTAGCATCTTTGCCCCGCTGATACAAAAAGGCTGGGCGGGCCGGGTAAGTGTTGCCGGCGAGCGCTAAAACTCGATGCAGGGTCTCACCTACCGCAATTTGTGGCATTTTTTTTCTGCTGCACCCAAGCGAGTATCATTTATTGCATCGGGAAGTCTGCGAAGTGATTCGTCGAGGTGGTTCGATTCCAAGGGGAAGCCGCGTCCCCACTTTCACGGTTCGTCGCGCTTAGAGGGAAAATCACAGCGATGAATACGTCCCGCGGATAAAGGCTAGCCCAGGGCTAGCCCAAGGGCAAGGCAAACGCCTGCATCTTGCGCAGCGTGAGGGCCAAGACAGGCCTGCCTGGCAAGGTGACGTCCCCCCACCCTCACCCGGTAGCCCGCCCGCGGCGTCCACGGCATCCGCGCATGCAGCCGATTCGTCCAGGTCAAGAAATAGGTATTTGAGTCCCCTGCGCGCCCTGCGGGCCTCAGAGGGGCGCGGCGCCCCCGCGGATCCCCGCCCCGTGGCTTTCGTGCGCCAGCGATAAAGGGAATTCTAAATCTCACTGGTGGCAAAAATAAGATCAAAGACGGCCGTCCCCGCGCCCGGGACTCCGCGACCAAGCAGACGTCCCTCTCAAAGTGGTGGCGAATAATCACCGTGAGGTGGAACAGTCACAGCAGACCCACCAGTCGGTCGGCTTTCTTTGCAGAGGCCCGCATCGTATCGGGACTGGCCCCGACCAGCCCCGCCAGCCCCCGGGCAGACCCCGCCAGCCTCCTGCCAGCCCCCGCGGAACCCCCGCCAGCCCCCCGCAAGCCCTCCGCCAGCCCCCGGCAAGCCCCCCGCCAGCCCCCCGCCGCGCCCCCGCCAGTCCCCGGCAGCCCCCGGCAGCAGCGCCGCCCCGTGCCCCGCTAGCCCGTGCGCCGCGCTCGCGTCAGCCCAGCCCGCCTATGCGTACGGCCGTCGACCAATCAGAAAACGCGCGGCAAGGTGGGCTGTCATGGGCACTCCGTCGCTGCATGCAGCGCCGACGATCGGGACTGCTCCCCCTCCCCTCCCCAGGCCCGTCAGCCCCCTCCCCCCAGCAGCGACCGCCGCCGCCCGACGGCGGGGTCCCTCCGTTGCACTTGAGGCTAGTTTGAAAGCCAAACATGGCACGTCCAGTGTAGCCTGCCGAACTTTGCTGACGTATCCCGTGACAATGAGAAGTGGGCGTCCCCCTCGCGTCCCTCTCGCGGCCCCTCGCGGCCCCTTCGGGCGTCTCGCGGCCTTGTCGGCGGCCGGGCCAGCCGGGCCAGCCGGGCCAGCGGGGCCGGGGTCGGTGCAACGCTTCAATCAGGCTGAGACAGCGGCATTCTCGAGGAGCCCCTTCGACACTCCACAACACGTGCCCGTCCGATGCGGATCTCCGAAAGAGGAATTTGGGATTGCTGGCCGACCAGGCGGCGCCACGCGGTCATCTCTGGACCCTCCGCTCAAGCGTATTCTTCGTCCCTCTCGTCTGTGTCTGTCTATCTCTGTCTCGTCTTCCTGCTCCTTCACTCCGTCTACCTTCCTCTTCCATCCGTCACGTTTCCTTCTTACCTTTCTTCCATTGTTATTGTTATTTTTATCCTTCTTCTTCTTTTTCTTTTATGATTATTTTTTAATTTTCATGCTCGCGAACGTTGCATGAAAGAGTATGTCACACAAGCTTTTTAATCGGATGAAAACGGCAACACCTCCGCTACTTTTCTTTTTTTTTTCCCATTAAGAAATATGGTCATATTAAGACCGTCCGAGAGGAGGAACGAAAAAAGCGTACCCCTCCCACGCGAAAGTGTTGCGACGTGGCGGAAGCAAGAATGCCTGGCCGTGACACATTCTGATCACATTTTTCACGCGCATACTTTTATCGGAACTCGGCTTTTTTGTCTCGTGTCTTGTTTTGCTCATGCGGTTTCTCTTCCAGGAGACGGCGTTCACCAGAGCAGGGGGCGACTCAAAAAGCACGCCATGTTAGATCAAAAGATTAAAAAGTTCCTGGCGGTGAGCACTGAAAGTTGTCTATGATTGTCTTTATTTCTTTCTCTATCCTTCCTGTCTTTGTACGGGATGTGCTGCGCATGGCATGAGTCGTGGACATTGTAATTTGAAAACACGAAATACGGTAATTCGGAGACTCACTGGAGCTCACTCCATCCGTACACCTAGCCCCGTGACTGAAACAACTTTTTGATAACTATGCAAAGAGTTGTTAATCCGCTCGCTCGTTAAAATGTCGCCCCTAACGTGGGTAAGCGAGGGGGTGAGCACCTCACGCTCGGTTCGGATCTAACTGGTCTTGTGTATGGAAAGTATCCGTGTTTTAAAATTACCGCTTCGTCCACTTTCCGCTGTTGTACTTTCTCTCACAGTTGGTTTTCACCGATTCTCTATCTTGAAATCTCCTTTTTAAGCGTGTTTTGCCTATTTTTCCTCCTTCTGCTGTGTGAATATATTTTTCTCTTCCTGATGTGATCTCTTTTGCTCTATCGCCCATCCTGACTTTGAAATTGTGTGCTGCTTGTTTTATTCTTTGCTCCTGTTTACCATACCTTTAAGGATGCGTCGTCGAAGCCCTGCTCCCTATTAAACACGGCTTGACTTGAAATAGCTTGGACCACAAATGATCCCGACAAACACACATACCCACACAGAGTATTGGCAGGTGGACAGAGTATTCTCCGTCTAGGCTTGGGGCGCAGCGTCGTCTCTTCTCCAGCCACTCCAGCCACTCCAGCCGCTCCAGCGTGCCGTGTGTCCTGTCAGTAATGGCGTGTGTTCGTAGGCCCGCTAACCGTCAGCAACCACCACAACAACTGTGGTCCCGGGGGCCACGGGGGCCCCGCGGGGGGCACCCCGCCCCGCCAAGACGCGAGGCGCGAGCGCAGAAAGAAAACGGTTCGCTTCGACGGGCGACACGACTCGGGCATAGACACCAGCTCGACGTTCACCTCGAGCGAGGACTCGAACCCCGGAGCGGGCCCAAAGGTACACTCACAGTGTACACGCAGTGTGTCCACCTAAAGCAGCGCATTCTTAGTGTAATGTCGACTCCGGGCTTCGGGCTGCGCTCCTTTTCCTAATAAACAGTAAACAAAACTAACCGCCGTAGTCATGATGGACAGATGCTGCAGTCGATAGTGTTTATTATTGAATAGATGACGCCTTTCTGTGACACGCAGATAACGAAATGCCGAATAGAGCACGCCAAACACGAACCTCATTACACGCCCTCACGCCAGAACACGCCTTCCACCGACAAAAATAAAATAAAAGGGAAACCTCTGAGGGACGGCGAGTAGGCACTGTTTACGATTGATCTGAAAGCAGAGAAATAATAATAATAATAATAATAATAATAATAATAATAATAATAATAATAATAATAATAATAATAATAATAATAATAATAATAATAATAATAATAATAATAATAATAACGCGCATCCGCGTGTCGAAAAATTATGGCTTAGGCGTGTGCACTCACATTCGCTTACTCATCAGTGTGCCAAATCATGGCATGACAAAATGCCACGACAAAAATGGGCGTGACAGAAAAATCGGCATACCATAGAAGTCATGCCGACAACTTCTGAGTCACATCAATTTTCTGCATGTCTTTTCTGCTATTCCGTTTTTTGTCTGTCGAAATCACCCCCCCGTAACGGCACGAACACGCCAACACACTTTCAGCTTTGTACTATCGCTCCATAAGTGAGTCGCACTTCACACATCCAGATATCGACGCCGAGGCTTTCAATCCTGTCCACCTTCCTCGCTCAATGCTGTCCTTCTTTACTGTCCACTCTGCAAACTATAACAACTGCTGTCATTTGCTTGCTGACTCCTTAGCGCTGTGCATGCGATGGTAGACTTTGTTTAGTTGATTTGAATCCGTATTATTTGTGCCTCTCTTTCATGCCGAGTGTTTCCCGAGCCAACGTCTTGGTTGAAACGTGGCTTCGAAGCTAAGTCGCTGCTTACTTGTCAACAAACTGCGTAGATTTGTGCTTTTCTTGCGTCGGTTTGACTGCCACGGGCCTCCTGACGGGGGCCAGCGAAACAGTAACATTTCGTGGCACGTCTCCCAAGAATAAATTGCATTCGAGGAGTGCACCGTAGTGCTTCGTAGGTCATGTAGCCTAATGAAAATGGCAATAGATCTAAGCTGAGAGGAAATAAAATTTGAATTGTGATCGTGCGCAGTGAAGGCCAAACTCTGTTTTGGGGTCAGAGATCCGTTAAGTTTTTGTCCCTCTAGTCTAGCATCCATGGGAAACGATCAAATTCAGCAACATCAGGCCACACGCGCGGGCTTCGTGCAACAGTTTGCGTTGAAAAAAATCAGGATTCGTCATGTCCGAATAGTGCCCTACTACGGCACGTGTTTGCCCGAGAGAAAACAGGGCCAATGTACTGATTTTCGAACCTGGGGAACGCAAATCGATGGGGGCAGGAAACGCTCAACCTCAATCCGTACTCGCCCGAGCCGGATCGACGAAACAGAGTTTTCCATTAACTGTGCAAATCTTATATCCTTTCTAAATTTTCCCTTGTCTGTGAGTCTGGCCGATGAGGACGATTTATTCTCAAAGCTTCCTACCGTAAATGTTAAACGAGAACGAGAACGATTCCTCCATCCCTAAGTTGTTCTCTTTATGCGAAAATTAATCTATCGTGTCAAACGCCCCAACCTAGTTCAGGGTTTGAGTGAGGTGTGGATAGTCCAAGAGTCGGGAGGGCCCCCCTCCCCCGCAGCCTCGGCTGGCGCACTACGCAGTCCTTCTCGTCCACAGCACCCGCACTCCTGGCAGACGAGTGCCGACGGCCAGTCCCTCGTCGGCCACATGATCCTCCGCAAGTCCATCCGGGAGCCCCAGGGCTCGGGCGGATCGTCGTCGGGGTCCTCGACGACGTCCGCCATCCTGGGCCTCAAGGTGGCGGGCGGCAGGGTGATGGAGGCCGGCCACATCGGCGCGGTCATCGAGCGCGTCAAGAAGGGCAGCATCGCGGACGTGGAGGGCCAGCTCAAGCCAGGTAAGGACGAGGGCCGGGCGTGCCGAAGCTACGCACCGCCCGCCCCGCCTCACCGACAAGTGTGTGTTGCAGGCGACGAGGTGCTGGAGTGGAACGGCAGGGGGCTGCAGGGACTGAGCCACCAGGAGGTGCACGACATCATTGCCGAGAGCAAGCAGGAGCCGCAGGTGGAGCTGATGGTCTGCCGGCCGCTCATGGGGTCCGCGTCGGGCCCCCACCCGGGCCACTCCGGGGGCCACGCGATGGGCGCGATGGGCCACGGCTCGGGCCCGGGGCCGGGGCCGCCAGCAGCCCGCGGCCGCGGCATGTCGTCGACCTGGAGGGCGCCGCCGGTCCACAAAGGTGCAGCACTTGCAGGATAAGAGGGCCTCGATAATGTGCCGGCGGAGTGCCGGCGGGTGATCGCGAAACGCAATTAGTGGTCCGGGAAGCGTAACCAAGTCAGGCTTCGAGCGAGAGTGCCTCTGTGATTGCTGGTGGCCGGCTAGCGCTGCCACAATTCATTTAGAACACTTAGGCCACAGGTGGAAGGCCTGTAGTCTAGACACTGAGTGCTTTGTTGGATCCCGCAGACTGGCGTGTGCCGTGGCGTTCCCTTCCCAGCGTCTGCGGCCAGACGCGCACGTGGGGCGTACGGGTTGTTGCTTCTAACGATACATTTGCCTTGCAGGTCTGTGCGTCTCTTCTTGCTGTCTCCTTCCAACCCTCTTCCAGTCGTGCCACATACTTACCTTTTCTTCCCTCGCCGTGACCGCTGCGCGCCTTTCAAGTGTTGCGGAGTCGAGCTGTGCCAGCTTCAGCTGTTTTTAACCAGTTCTAGAGCTGTTTTTCTCATGGCCGAGTGTTAGTTTTTTTTGTGTCAAAGCGATGATCACGTTGAAACAACATCGAAGTGTTTTATTTTTTTCACCCCTTCCTCCTTCCTCGTCCTACCCCTCCAACCTGCACTCTTCCCCTCCTACTTCTCTCTTTCTATCTCTCTTTCTTCCCTCTCTGTCTATCTGTCTTCTCCATCTCTTCTCTCTATGCCCCCCTCAAACGCACGGTGATTTCAACAGAACTACACTCAAATGGTTTCCCTGCCAAAACACATGTATTCGCCAGGAAGCAACAACTTGTGCCCACGTTTATCCCAAACAAACAAAGGCTTGCGACTGTATCTTGGACTGTGTGGAGGGCACGCAGTGTATGGCGGGCTCGGTGGACTTGATGGCGGGGTGTTGTTGCAGACCTGTACGACGCGCGGCGCGACAACCCCGCCGTGCTGGTGACGTCACCCGGGTCGCCGGACCTGCACCGTGGGGGTCACCCCCGGCACGGCCCGCCCCTGGCCAAGGGCAACAGCGTGGGCGGCAAGATGCAGGTCAAGCTGTGGTTCGACTCCGGCGCGCTGCAACTGCAAGTGACCATCGTGTGCGCGGCGGGGCTGCTGCCGCGACGGAACGGGGAGCCCCGCAACCCGTACGCCAAGATGTTCCTCCTGCCGGACCGAAGGTGAGTCTCACTTATGTGCTTTTTTGTGCGTAAGCTTGCACAAAATTGAGCATGCGTTTCGATATGCTCGAATTGTACGCGCAACAACGCACACTTTAGCGCTTAGTTGCGCACAAATTCGTGCATTTGAAAAGGCATGCTCAATTTTATGCGAAGCTTTACAAAAAAGTACGTTGTAATTTAGTGTGATTATCCCCCGCGCGGCAGAGGATGAACACACATGTTTCTCGGAAGGGAATTTGATTATCGGCCCCCATGCTGGGGAGCCGGCCCGAGCCGACCCCAGTTCCGGGTAGCCGACAGTGCCGGTAGCTGGGGGAAAGGGGGGGGGGGCGACTGATGTGGTGCAGCATTGCCGTGGCCACAGGCCACTGCCGGGCGCAAAATTCCGCTGCATTTTTTGCCTTGTGAGGGGCACTCTCGTCTGCTCCCAGGCCCGGGACGAACAGCCGCATCCCCCAACGTGCACTAGTGGCAAAAAAGACCGCCATCGTTTGGACAGAGACCAGTGTACTCTCCTTTGTTTCAAAGAAGACCGCGATGCTTCCCATTGTTTGACCGAAAGCCGCTGTGCTTTTCGTCCTCAGCTTCCTGGGCTCAGTCGAGACTTTCAAACACGAGAAAGAAAAAAAAAGATCTCAGACTGACAGTTGTTGATATTTTTCGATTCATAAATGTCACTCACACTTAACTTGCATAATTTCATTTTGCGCTCGGCCCACTACGGAAATAAACCATCATTAGCCAAGAAACTCAGCTGTCTTTTCCCTACCGATGGAAGTAAGGACACATCGAGGAATTCGCTTAGCTAGGAGGCCTTGAAATACTTCCCTTCTCCGAATTGCTGACTGTAAACCACACCAAGCAGATGGATACAATATTTCCTGAGCGGTACTATAACGCCGCGGGGTGAATCGCTCTCCTTCACTTTGTGCAAATTATTGTAGATTACAGTTAATTTGGCGTGATTTCGTACTGTATTGCCCCATTTCATTGTGGGGGCTGGAATTCCAGGCCGAGTACACTTGACCACAGGCAGCCCTCGAACTTTGGAAACTGGCGCGCCGCGACACATCAAAGCTCGGTTTCTGGGAAAGCATGTGCGGTGATTAACTAGTCCGTTACAGGGGACATTTCAAAGGCCCGGCAACTGCGCATGTGGGAGAATGGGTCTCTGCACCCTACACGGATTTCCCAGAAAACCGGAATCGCTCATGCTACTACTGTGGCAACACTGGTAAAACAAAGGCATAAAAATTACGCCCTTTAGGGCATAAATACTCTTTTACGCCCTTGCAAGGGCATAAATCGTTTTATGCCCTTGGGAAGGGCGTAAATGGTATAGGAATTTCAAGCAAAATTTTAATGCCCTTCCCAAAGGCATCAACGATTTATGCCCTTTAAGGGCGTAAATCGTTTAAGCCCTTAAAGGGCATATTTTTTTATGCCTTTGTTTCACCAGTGAACGCAGGAAAAACAGGAATCGGTTTTGCTGTGAAGGCGAGGTAAACTATACGAAGTAATGCTTAGCATTTCGAGGGGAATTCCTTCGACTGTCGAAAGCATTTTCTTCACAAGAGATTAAACGGATCAATCCTAGAACGCCTTAAATTCTCCTCACGATTGAAAAGCGCAGGCCGCATCCGCTTTTCTCTCAGCACAAACCCTCATTTGATGCGTTGCCTTGCAGCGAGAACTCGAAGCGGCGCACCCAGACGCTGGCGCAGACCAACGACCCTCGCTGGAACCAGACGTTCGTGTACTCGTCCGTCAAGCGGTCCGACCTCAAGCTGCGGGTGGTGGAGATCACGGTGTGGGACTACATGCCGCACCGCACCAACGACTTCCTGGGCGAGGTGCTGGTGGAGCTGAGCGTGGCGGCGCTCGACTCGTCCCCGGAGTGGTTCTACCTGAGCAGCCACGGCGCGGGCCGCGACGCCGGCCGCGACGCCCTGCTGTCCCCCACCGACCACCTGAGCCCTCCGGGCGCGGGCAGCATGGTGTCGAGGCTCTCGGACTCGGACACGTCGGACCTGGACGACGGCCGCGAGCGGCGCGTGGCGGACGGCGCGTCCATCAGCAGCGTGGGGTCGTCCACGAGCCCGCCGCCCGACATGCTGGACATGGGCAGCGCGCGCCGCTCGCGCCGAGACATGTCCCCGCAGGGACGCAAGCGCGCCGCGCACATGGCGCTCCGCGACAAGCCGGTGTCGTACCAGCCGCCGCGCGTCGCGGGCGCGCACGCCGCGCAGCTCGGGCCGCGCTCGCACTCCGCAGCGCCCGCCGACTCGCCCTCCATGGCCATGAGGAGCAGGTCCAAGTCCCCGCGACGCTCCTCCGACCACCAAGTCGACCACCACGTCGACCACCACGCCGACCCGCGGAGCCTGTCGCCGCCGGAGGACCGGTGAGTGCTCTCTTCATTCTCAGGGGAACAATTTTTTTATCTGACTGGAAGCGAGCCATTTTTTTCTGAATGCCGGCGTCATTTTGTTTAGGCTTATTTTCAGAACCCTGACAGGAATGGTAATTCCATTCCAATGCTGTCGCTGGCTCACTCTTCTTGTTTCTTTCCTTTTTTCATATGGCGTCTCGCTATTGGCCAGAGACAACCATGGTTGTTTTTGAGTTCACTAGCAGCATGGCGAATGGCAAGGGGAGGGAGAGGTGAGGGAGAGGTGAGGGCGGAGGCAGATTACCTTTAGGATGAGCCATAGAAATTGAGAAAGAGTGTGTTGGACAGAATGTGTCGTTCGGGCCCTGTCGTCCCTGGAAGCGAGAAATAATGAAGGCTGATGATTGGACGGACACTGAGTGATGGGGCATGAAAGCCCTGTCAACCGAACGTCGGATAATTTCATGACAGCAGGCACACTGCTTGAAACATGTTAAGGCTCTGACATAGGAGCGGATTTGGTGCTGTGGGTGAAGGCAGATCTTGGCCTGCAGCGTAGTGCATGCATGCCGAGCGCCTGCAGACTCGGGGATAGGCCAGCCCGCCGCACGCGCGCGTCGCACGCCTTGCCTATGCTCCGTTCCGCAGGCGCTATTGATGGCTGGGCTCCAAATGAGCGTGTGCCAGACTCAACGGTAGCATCGGGGAAAAAAGGTTGAGCAAAGGTCGAAACATAAAAGCAGATGATACGTTTCATTTCTAAAAGTGTCCGCCAAGATAATTTTTAGCGAACAAAAACAATCTTTAAAAAAGGTGATTTGTTGATTCAATTTAGAATGAAAGAAAGTTATTCTTTGTCGTACTATAATGTAAAAGTCTGTAAGTGAACTCCCGAGAGTGCTAGCATGCTGACACATTACCTTATACTACTATTTCTGTTTTGTCTCAATGTCTTTATGTATAATGTATCATCTGCTAACAAGTGGTCGGTTGAAGTGCTTTCAGATGAGTTTCTATCATTTGGGGGGACGGGGGTAGAGCGGTAAGGTCGTTATGAACCACTCAGCTTCCAAACGATCGCTGACGTAGTTCACAACTGTACAAAATTGAGGTAACCACCGTCATCAATGCAAGGCCAAGCAAGAAATCAGCCCGACATCGTTGGCGGTGGTGAGCGCCTGCAAGAGGTCGTAGAAAGTGCCAGGTTCTTTAACTGCTGGAAGCTGGTCCCTTTCGGCATTTGTATTGCTGTAGGAAAGGGAGCTCGTGTTGCAGCCGGATGCAGGGCGCATCGTGGTTGTCATTCTGCAGGCCTCTGGGCGTTCGTCGTGGTGGTCCTCCATGTAGTGGTTGCAGTGGCTTCCCTAGGAGCAGGACTGAGACTGAGCCCTTTCCCTTGAACCGCTTGCAGGAGCAGCATGGCCATGGGCCCCCACGGCTACATGCCACGCTTCTCCCGGTCGGCCACGGCCACGCCCACGACGTCACCGCGGAAGAGGCAGCTGCCGCAGATCCCGCCGGCTGTGCAGAACGCGTTCCGGGATCGCGACCGACTGTCCCGCGACCGCCTGGATCGAGTAGACAGGGACCGCCTGGACCGGGACCGATTGGACCGGGACCGTCTGGACCGGGACCGAGTAGAACTGGACCGTGGGTCAACACTTGTAAGTACCCAGTCCTTTGTACTACAAACAATCTCCTTCGTATAGGCTGCGAGCCCTTCGTTTTCTTTGTATTACAACGAGTAGTTCTTTGTAGGAATTTACCTGTGTCCACGAGGCATACATTTTCCAGTCGATTCAACAATTTGATTTGGTTTTTGTGTAAAAAAAGTAATCCAATGGCACAACCAACACACCAAAATACTCCGGGAATGGACGCACCGACACGCACACAAGAACACCTCGCTCACGAACACGTGCCAAAACCTTGGTCAACGCGCGGCAAAAGCATGGCCAGAGATGCACTGGAAAACGGCCGCCGCTATCCTGGATCGGCCTCGGATTCTCTCGCTGTTCTTGCCGCGCGTTTTTTCTGCGCGACAGTGCGCACGGACTTTTGAATGAAATGCTAATCGGCACGTTCTGCCTCGCCTTGCCTGCCCAGGACGCTGACGACCGGCTGCACGAGGCGCGGCACTCCAGCAGGCACCGCCAACGAGGGCACCATTCAGGTAAAAATCGACGAGCACATTCCGTCCCCAATTTCCGCCCAGTTCCGGCCTGTTCTGGCCTGTTCCGGCCATTGATGGGATCTACGGTTATTGGTCTTTATTACGTTGGCTTTACATTGCATGGGGTCAACTCGTCGCTGCCGTATACGAGCAGGGGGACGTACCAGTTACGTGGGGCAACCACTTTTAATGTTTTGCGACTCAAGATTTTTTTTTAAGAAAAGAGATTTAGTCGGATTTTGCAGGATTCCGTCCAATTTTACGCCTAATATCTGCTTGTTTGGCCTTTTTGGGGAAAGATTTCGGATTTTCTGAGATGAGGAGCGCTCTAGGGGGCACAGGATTTCTTGAGTGGTTGCCCCGTCGGTATGTACATGTAGGGATGTAAGGGCAAGGTAGTGAAAAATTTGAAGCATTATTGTGGCAATATTTTGGCAATATTGAGGCAATATTGAGGCAATATTGATACAATATTGATACAATATTGAGGCAAGTAATATTTGGTACTATGCGGCATTGGTTGGTTAGTTATCAAAGCGTTTTAGAGTGCATACCGTGTCTCATTTCAAACGAGACCCAAAAGAGAACTTGGAAAAATATCTGATACGTAGCTCTCATATTTTTGTAATCGCCGAGAAAGTGTCATTCCGTGTTACTGAGGGTTTCTGGGTGTCTCTTGCTGCTTCTGGCACTGAACGCTCTGGCGACTTTGCAGCGGACTGGTCCTACACGGGGCTGTCCGACAGCGACCTGTCCACCTCGGGCCGGGGCACCACGTCTACGTACAGGATGAGTCGCCGGCACCGGTCGCCCGACAAGGAGCTTGTCCCCGGCGACTTCGGGGACTCGGACATCGAGTCGGTTGTCTCCGTCACCAGCAGTGCCTTCTCCACGCAGTCCGAGCGGCCGCGGGGGTCGCGCGCTATCAGGTACACGCAGCTCTCGACAAGGCACGTATCACCACCCACCCGTCTCTCTCTCTCTCTCTCTCTCTCTCTCTCTCTCTCTCTCTCTCTCTCTCTCTCTCTCTCTCTCTCTGAGCTTTACTCCGTCGGAGCTCCACGACCAGGCAAAACGGGTTGAGGGCAATTTCCGCTACTTCCTGGAGATAAGGATTCCCATTACGTGTACTTTTTGTTAGTAATGTTCAAATTGATACAATTTCCCTCTGCACTGGTAAATCTAGAGCGTTACTCTATGCTTGAGTCAAGCATAAAGTTACGCTTGAAGACGTTACGCTTGAGAGCATAGACTTGAAATTTCCCCATGCATTTAGATAGGGGAAATCTTGGAGGATAAGCCTGTTACGCTTGAAAACAGTGGGTAACTACGCTTTAGTTTTACCAGTGTGTGTTTCTTTTAAATGACAGAGTGACATCTGCGATTTTAGTTACCAGTGATCCAATACCAGCTAAAACCCATGGTACAACGCAGCCGCAATCCACCTTTTCCCGTTTCTAAAAACCAGTTTACCGTTAAAAAAAAACTGTTTCTAAGACACGGTATTTTACCACCGGTGGACACTGGTAACTAATTCACGGTCTTTCCAAGATATTTTTCCATGGGCGCAGCCCCTTCCTGATTTGTTTGCTCGTGGACTGAAGAAAATTTTCTCGGAATTTCCCGAATTACCTAGGATTAACTCAAAATATTTGGTCATCCGGATTACGGATTACACTGTAAAAAAAGTATTACTGAAATTTCATAATTTTAGTCTGAAGTTTTTAAACAGACTAGTGGTTTGAAAATTCAGAGTAATTATTCAGACCGTTCTGTCTGAATTCCAAATTCAGACTACTTGTCTGAAAAACATTTTCAGACTGCTTCTCTGAAATATTAAATAAAAGTGCCATCTATAAATCAAAGAGAGAGAAATCAACAAGAGAACAATTTGAACCACCAACGTGTGACGGTATCTCCTTTCCACTTTACACTTGTTCGCTTCGGCCCGGGTTCGAACCGGGACTTTTTGGTTACGAGACGAGCTCGGTACCACTGCGCTACGGGCGCTGCCTGGCGGCGGGGGAAGCCGTGCCGCGTGACTCTCTTCAGAGGATACCAGCTCCTTTCGGCAAGTCCAGAATGCAAGTTCGGACAACTCTTACGGTTAATCTACCGTACACAGACGAATCTGCGTGAAGCGCGGGTGTACATTATTATTTCCGATAAATTTATACAACGCCTTACGCCTAGACTTGATTAGTAGACAATCTGTCAAAATTTTCATACCAAAATTATGAAAACAGGTTTCAGGATGACAAGTCTGAAAACTTTATCAGAATTTTCAGACCTTCTGCTTAAAATTCAGACTAACCGGTGTGATCTCAAATTTCAGAGTTCCTAGTCTGAAAATTCAAAGCAACTTTCTGAATTACCGATTCAGACTGCAAAGTCTGAACAAATTGTACTGAAATTTCAGAATTTTTTTTACAGTGTAGCAATTTGCTGCCAGCCGGATTACCTAAGTCCCCCTCAGCAAAATGTCATAGCTGCGGGGTTCGCATTAACTTGGCGCTTGCATCTCGTTGACGGCCTCCTTTGTCCGCAGTGGTAGCGAGTTCAGCGCGGCCGGGACCATGACCAGGGCGGGCAGGCAGGGCCGGCAGGGCTCGCAGCGAGGCCAGTTCACTCGCAGCCTGTCCAACACGGACGTGCCCCCCGAGACTGAGGACAGCACGCGGGGCAGCCGCGAGCACATGACCAGCAGCAGCCCGGTGGACCAGATCCAGAGCTATAATGGTAAGTGTCACACTGCTCTCTTTTTAGCACAGACAATTCCTTTACATCAAACGCACTCACAGAAGATCACGAGACTCATTAGCGTGTCATAGCTCACTCTCGAGTCCAAAAACCAAGCACAGACGGCCAAATTCCTATCAGAATTTTCAGAATGCTCCCTGGTATTACAAAATATGTCTGCATTAACAGTTTCTTTTTTTAAACAGTGTGCTGCTGCTATTTTCTTCAGTTCCTAATATATTTTTTAAAACCGTGTGCTCGGTCTATTTTCTTCACCGCCTTCGTAAGACTCTCTGACACTTGTTGCAGACGGCAGCCTCAGCGACACTGCGCTGGGCACTCAGCACAACACGACGCGCAGGGTTAAAATGGCCGGGACCACTGGCAAGATGGCCGCGATGGGCAAGAAGAGCTCGTCGACGTCACAGCTCTCGGCTACCGGTGAGGGAAGCGGAGGTAACGGATGCCACGGCGGCGCCCTCCTTCCTAGCATAAGTCACACTTCTTGACGCGCCACCGGCCCAGCCACTGGCCCCGCCACTGGCCCCGCCACTGGCCCCGCCACTGGCCCCGCCACTGGCCCCGCCACTGGCCCCGCCACTGGCCCCGCCACTGGCCCCGCCACTGGCCCCGCCACTGGCCCCGCCACTGGCCCCGCCACTGGCCCCGCCACTGGCCCCGCCACTGGCCCCGCCACTGGCCCCGCCACTGGCCCCGCCACGGGCCCCCCCGCCACTGGCCCCGCCACTGGCCCCGCCACTGGCCCCGCCACTGGCCCCGCCACTGGCCCCGCCACTGGCCCCGCCACTGGCCCCGCCACTGGCCCCGCCACTGGCCCCGCCACTGGCCCCGCCACTGACCCGGGGCGGAGGAAGCCTGTCCACCGCCAAGCGTCTTTGAAAGTTTGACACGTCTCGGGTGAAAGGGGGTCTATCAAGTTCACGGTCAAGTTATGACCTTTAAGGAGCGTCGGTGCAGCCGCGCACAGTAAAAAAATTGTTCCTACTTTACGGCAAAATTGTGAAGAATATTTTTGTCACTTTCAAACCATGAGAATTACAATTACAAATTGGTGACATCTTCATCAAAGCTTATATGGGCCAGCCTGATAACAACGTCATCATAGTTTTTATGACTTTCTTGTAAAGAAAATTAGCCTTGAAATTTTCATTAAGTGAAAACTAAAATTCTCAAAGTACGGTCCCACAAGGCCGGCTTCAACTGCGCGCCCGAAACTTGACAGGCCTCCAGTGATGCACCCGGACTGACTGCATGTCTGCTGTTCAGGGGCTGGGAACTCGCACTGTTAGAACATTGCGAAGAACAACTACTTCGCAGCACGAAATATTTCCTTTGCAGCTTGCGAACCTGTTCTCAAAGTCGTTTCTGAGCGCGTGCACACAAAAAGTAACTTGTATGATTTTTTTTAGTCCCACAGACAATCTTTGTTGGTTGCGAGGAATTTGGTCGGAAGCATGAAACTGTGCTGACCACTCCACTCTCTGGGCAACGGGACAATACTTCCCGACTCTTTTGCACTTTTGAAGGTCTTGCGTGGATGGGCAACCCCTCCTTCCTTGGCTGACATTAGCGTCCTCTTTTTGTGTATTTTTGTTGAGTAGAGAAATGTGACACTAACCCAGCTTCCTCCCAACAGCCATGTGTAGTTTGGCGATAGGCCATCGTGACGTGCATCTTGATGAGGCACCTTGCGGCGCCGGCCGGTGTCCTGGGCAGGTCCTGGGCAGGTCCAAGGACTCGAGCGACTCGCCGAGGCTGCTCCCAGGCCCTGCCGGGACGCCGGCCGCGGTCCGCGCCGTGCCGCCTGCTTGCGGTTCTGGTACTGATGACACTGTTTGATGGTCGCTGCATCGCCATGCGCAGGCCGAAAACGTAGGTTAGGTTTCAACCGCAAGGGCAAGTCTTCCTTCACCGTGCACCGGAGCGAAGAGGTGCTGCCGGAGGATGTCAGGCTACTCGTCAGGCAGGCCAGCTCCATGTCCAGCGACGGCGAGGGCTCCGGGGACGGAGACAGCAGGTGGACACCATCGACTATCCGCCTTGACACCCTCCTTGAGGCCCTCTTTGAGGCCCTCTTTGAGGCCCTCTTTGAGGCCCTCTTTGAGGCCCTCTTTGAGGCCCTCTTTGAGGCCCTCTTTGAGGCCCTCTTTGAGGCCCTCCGTGAGGCCCTCCTTGAGGCCGGCCGGGTGACGGCGAGGCCGTACCGCGGTGTCGCCGTGTCGGCCAGCCTCTCGCCGTCCTTCCGGCCGGCCTGACCCAGTGACCAGAGCGATGCCCTTCCCCGCGGAGCCCGGGCCGAGCCCCTGTGGACGGGCAGGTGGGCAGCGCGCACGCATCCACGCGTCGCGGGCCTGCCTACCCTCCCTTACACAGGCGCTACAGCCCAGCGCCCGCACTCCCCTCACAGTTTCCGCACACTTGCCATGTTGAAACGACTGGGCTGTTGTTTCAACCAGAAAACGAGGGGATGTAAGAGGTGGTAGACTAACTCGGCCTACAGCACTGTTGCATTTTTGTTGCCTCCGTGACGTTGTGCCACTGTTTTGCACGACGCAACATATAGAATGGTTGTTCGCTAGTAAACAGCCGTACCAGTCGGTAGATGTATTTTAAAAACGTATTTTTAAAGACATAGGAGTCTGCTATTATTAATCATTGTTCACTGGTAAACGACGCACTTCATTTCATTTAGAGCTGAACCCATTGCTGCCTCGAGCCGACGCGACTCGTTTCATTGCGCCCATCCTCAGTTGGTCAGTTAGCCTCATGGAGCATATCTGCTGAGATGGGAAAGGTAGCACACCGCAACACAACAACAGAATCAGAAACAATCCGCCCCCCTTCTCTCTCTCTCTCTCTCTCTCTCTCTCTCTTTATATATAATATATATATATATATATATATATATATATATATATATATATATATATATATATATATATATATATATATATATATATATATAGGTCTCTCTGCCCTCTCTCACACACTCACCCACACATGCAGACACTTGGCAAAGGCCCCGCGGCTTGCTGTGCTTCTTCAACTAGTGTGTGCTGGCGTATGACATAAGCCATCCCCGCCAGACAACACGTCATTCTTGACACTCATGGCTCGCTGGACAGTAGTGTGACGATGCTGGATTGGCGGGAGACTCGGCGCGGCCGGTCGTCCTGGGTCTCCCCACCACGGGCCTCGTGCCGAGCCTCTGTTGGCGGGCCCGAGCCCTGGAGTCGGCCCGGAGCCTGCGAATGCCCTGTACAGGGACCGCAAGCCCGGCCCCACGCCGCTCCTGGGCTGCGGTCCTCGACTGTGGTCCTGGACTGTGGCCCTAGACTCTTGTTCTAGATTCTGGTCCTGTACTCTAATCCTGGACCGTGGCCGCTAGACTATTGTCCAGGATTCTGGTCCTGGACTCCAATCCTGGACTGCAGCCCTGGACTCTTGTCCAGGATTCTGGACTGTGGCCCTGAACTGCAGTTCTGGACGCTTGTCCTGGACTCTAGTCCTGAATTCTGGTCCCGGACGGGGCTTGCTGGTGCTTTGTTGAGGGTATAACTACAGCATGCCTAGATAATGTTGGACTCTAAGCGATGACAGTGTTGTGATTCGATGTTGTTGGACATGGAACCAAGACTTAATTTAACAGCTTGGCTCTCTGTCGTATATTGTGTCTTTCTGTAAATAAGTACCTTGATTGTGATTACTGCACTGCTAACAAGTATCTGTACCTTTTCCTTCGCTGCTACAGCGAGAGGCAGCGCGACGCTGGTGCGAGACGCCTCTGAGCGACGCTCGGACTGGCGAGCCTGCTCCGCCCCTAGCAGCCGACCCCCTCGTCGCATCCGTGCAACAAGCTCCTATCTTAGCTTGATGTCGTCAGCAACAACCTATCTCTATGCGCTATCATCAAAAACAACCTATCTCTATGCGCTATCATCAAAAACAACCTATCTCTATGCGCTACCATCAACAACAACCTATCTCCTATCCTTAGCGCATACACACAGGTTGTTGTTGATGGTAGAGATAGACTTGTTGACGACCAATTTTTGATAGGTTGTTGTTGACGATACCAAGCTAAGATAGGTGCTTGTTGCTGCACGGATGCGACGCCCTGTACATAATAGTGGAGACCTAGCGTCGCCTCGCTGCATCCCACAAGTCGTAGGCGCTAAAGTAGTTCATTCTCAGCATAGTTACTAGCTTTTTGAGCATTTGACATTAATATATTTAAAAAAAAAAAACACTTTTAAGCAGTTATTGTAACCTACGGTCAAAACGGTTCCTGGTTTCCCTTGGAACTCCCTGGAAATCGCCTTATTCATTACTCTTGGCTGCCTGGGAAAAATGGGGACCGTTTGTGCCGTGACCGTTTTACACTGAAGAATTACTTGATTTCTCGCTGCTGTCCTGACGTTCCTCCATGTGTTTCTAAAGATATTTTTCAAACTTACGTATCCAAATATTTCAAGATAATATTCAGTATTCTGTTTGCTTCATTCAATTGACAGGAATTTTTTACTCAAGTTACTGACATGCTGAGAGTGTGAACCAAACTATTAGACGCTGCAGTATTGATAGCGCTGTACGTTGGCTTTATCATTTGCGCCGAGGTATCAACCCATTTACAGTTTTTTTTTGTCTTTTTACTCGTTCTTTACAAAAACCAAAAAAAAGCTATCACCTAAAGAGAACGAGTATTGTGCTCAACAGAGAAATGTGGTGATGTGGTTCATCTCGAAATCTATTACACATAAAGCCCCCATATTCACATGATTTGATACATTTTGTTATTGCTAACAACAATACTATGAGGTTTTTTTTCAGTTTCTATGTAAAATTTTGAGAAAATCGAGTTTGAATGGCAGAAATGATGAGTGTAGAAAATTGTGTTACAAGCAGCTTCTGTTGCACATTTCTCAGTGAAAATGAAGATAAAGCAACACTTTTTGGTGATAAATTTAAAGCTTAAAGTGCGATTAGAAAGTTCTCTAAGAGGTTTTTTCTTATTATTTATCTAAAAAAAGAGATATAGAAGGTTTTACAGATTGAAGTAATGGGTGTTTTAAAGTGATTGTAACTTCATAATATTTACCCATAAGGTATGTTTATAAGTAAATCAAAGTTAAAATTAAACATGTATAACCATTTGGTGTTAAAGTGACAAAGTTTTGTCAACATAAAAGGAAAGATATCGCTTTATACCATAAATTTGAGGTTAATGGTCATAAGGAGGTGTGACGATGGCGCCATCTATTGAGACAATAATGAGTTGAATTCTTTTGTTCACCACCTTGAACGAGACTAGGGACTTCCCGCCAAAGGCGGAAACCAATCACGATGCTTGAATGTCAAATTATTTTAAAACCTTTTTGGAGGGCAAAAGAGAATTTATGATTTGCAGATGTCTACTTCACTTGATTTCAAAACGCACAAACTCATCTCTCATTTGTTTCTGGTGAACCACATATTGTAAAGAACGAGTCCTCCATTAATATCAAATACTTTTGATATTCCACAGTTTTTTTTTCTTCTCATATTCCTTGGCTTCTTGTTTTTTAAATTGAAGTGTCGTGCAGCTAGGCCGCTAGGTGGGACGGTGTCTCCCCGGCGTTGCCTCGCGGCCCTAGCGCCTACAGGGCCGGCGTGGCGATGCCGGGGGACGCGTCTCGATCGATGTAAACCTGTCGCTTCGAACGAAGCATTTCTTCCCGGGCATTGCTAGCGCCTCGCGCACGCAGCGCTCAGCAGGCCAAGTCGCCAAGGGGCGAACCATCCATGTCGAGGATTCCGTATTGCGGAAAAAGTGTTTACAAAAGACCTTAAGTCGTTTGAGTTTCAAATCGCACCAAGCGGTACCTTGCCATTATTTTGACGGCTTGTGGGTAAACGCTGCATTTCACTACAATGCCAAACTATCTTCGAGACATCGATGGTTTACCACTTTGACTACTCGAAAACTCGTGGCGCTCCTCACAGGCCGCCTCTCCAAGCACGCTCAGAACGTGTCCACGCAGTGTCGTGGGGCAGGCGCTCTCATGGGCGAACGCATTTCGGGCTCCATTGACCCCCGCTTAGGTCACTCTCTCTGGCACTCTTTGAGCGTCCCGTGTGGATGCAGTAGACCAAACCAGAAATACTGTGTGGAGTCTCTGCCGCGTTCGAGTGCGATGGAGAGGCCACCGCCGACTGGCTCGGGGCGCGCTCGCCACCCCTAGCCTCGCGGTGGGCGCCGTGTCACTCTGCTTTGTTTGTTGGATGTTGTGTTTGTCTGTTTTCTGCTGTTCTCACTCTAGTCGGCGCCGGGGCAGGTCTCACTGTAGGCGAGTGGATGGGTGGCGAGCTGGAGGGTCGCTTCACTCCGGCCGGCCGAGGCCTCTAACTTTATCGGGAATGGCTTGAACCAATCAATACCATTTTCTTTTCAACCTCTGTGCCAAAAGGCCGACTCTCATTCCTGTCAGTCCGTGACGTGGTTCATTCGATTCACCATTCCGTATGTGGCTTCGCGGAGCTTCGGACCCTTCGGACCCCTCGGACCGGACTGCTGCTGTCCCTCCACCTCGTTGCTCGCACTCTAGTGTAGACATGGTGAGCTGCACTGGAAGCTCACGACTTGAATTATTTCTTTGCCAGAGGGTGGATCTAGAAAGCGTAGCTCCCCTAGCAGTACCATCTCGGTGCAGCGGTCCCAGGAGGTGACCCCGAATCAACCGAACACAGGCAGTCTCAACAGCATTTCTAGTTCCGACGGATCTTCGTGAGTAAAAATTACACACACAAAATGTGCCCGAATATAGTACTTTAAATCCTGTAGCACTTCTCGACAGCAGATCGGCCTACTTGTGTTTTTGGTTTCTTGTCGTTTTGGGATCTTAAAGTAAGAATTGACATGGATAAATGAGGCGCTTTGCGGGTTTCCTTATTGCTATATTCTCGCTGCAGCACATATTTCTATCGAGCAAATAAATAATAAATAGCACCGTGCAACACAACTTCTTGTTAAACAATCCTGGTTTTAAAAAACCGCGTAGACCGATCCGTTGTCAGCAGTGCTGAGAGTCGAAAAAAAAAAAAACACCTCGCGTTTAAATAAAGTACCTGCTGTACTGCAACCCCTGGCGGCGCTGGCACCGAAACGGGGAGCCACTCACTGCCCAGAACTTTTGTCTGGGCACGACATAGCACGGCTCTTCCGCGCAGTAACGGAATCACTTCTAGAATCTTCTTCCAGTGCGACTTTGGCGCAGAGCTTAAAGAGATTTGCTCGCATCTGTCTTTCTGTCTGACTGTTTGTCTGTCTGTCTGTCTGTCCGTCTGTCTGTCTGTCTGTCTGTCTGTCTGTCTGTCTCTCTTTCTCACTCTCTTTTGCATGCGTCCGAACTAGCACCTCGAAAGCCACTTCTTTGCATCCGTCTTTCTACTGCTGAGAGGTGCCACGTCAAATTACCTGTCGCCACGAGGTCCCGTCCGGCCGTGTCGGCTGTTCCTTTTGTGTGTGTACTTTTTTCACCCGGGCGCAATCCGTTGTCATGGCAACCCGTGCCGCGGCGACGAATCGTCTGCACCTTGCACTGCCTCCGCGCCCACACTGTTATTCAACGATCGCGACTTCATGTTCGTTGGAATGTGAAATTTGTCATGTTCCTTTATATAAACGATGTTGCATTCGCTGGAACGGGACACAACCGTCAATAAGTGTGTCACATTCGTTTGAACGTGGATTAACATTGAAATTCATTCAAACGAACGGGACAAAATTCACCTTCCAACGAATATGACTTCACATTCGTTGAATAGCAGTGCAGGCCAGCCTCGCGGCGAAGACGAACTGCGCCACCATTCCTCAGCCAGCCAGCTGAGCGTTTTGACGTCCCGCCATGCCAAGGCCATGCCTAGGCCATGCCCTCACAGATAAATTCCAACCAAGAACGTTCTTTAGCTTGCGCGTAAAACAGAGGTTTAAAGTCCTTACCATTCTGCGAAGAACTTCTTCGCAGCCTTGTTTGTCGACTATTTCATGCGTGGGCTGCGAAGCCCGATAGGCGAAGCCTTCCAAAGAACCGAGCAAAGAACTTTCTTTGTGGGGTTGTAAGTGTGCTGCTGAGCCCCTTTTCAAGGTTCACCCGGTGATTGTGTCGTGCTCCGGTTGCTTAAACTACCACAGTTAATGTTGTTTACTTAATGTATTTGCATTGGACCTTGTTGTTGTTGATTGCTTTTTTTGCGCCTCTTGTGTACTTGTTCGCACGATTTTCGATTTGAAGTTCTTTTGCTTTGCTTTTTTTAGTGTAACATAGTGAGATGCGCACGGTATGCTGTATTATGGCTTCTTGAAACAAAACCTCTTGAAGTCATACTGGAGCGTTTCAACACACTAAGACAGGGGTACTCCTCCGTGCTGGCCACACCCACCGTAAACAAACCACGAAGAAACAAACGTATGTCCTATGTTTTATAAAAAAGAAATAAAATTGAAACGCCTTGCCTTAATTCTACGATGAATCATGAGATAATCAAACAAATATAATGAAATTATTATTTCATAATTAAAATAAGAAATCATCACTATTTTAATGAATTGATCAAACAGAGTGAACCTGAGCGAGTTCACAAGCTTCTGCCTTAAGTCTAAAGTCCTTAAGTAGACGTGGTTTCGGTTCCTTCAAGTACTTTTTTTGTCAAAGTCTACGGAACGGTGTGGTGGCACTTAAAACAAAACACAGTTGCCTTTTCCTGGGAAATGCCGGGAGCTGGTGTTTGTCGGCAAGTACCAAGTCCCTTACGCTTCACTCAGCTTATACCTCACCTTTTACATCCTCTCACCACGTTGTGCTTTTCCTTTTTTCATTTTTTTTAAAGAAAAAATACAAAGGATCAACAAGTTTCCTTTGTGTTGGGGAAGGGACATACTCGTGTCACTTTTCTCTTGCTTTTCTGTAAACATTTTCTTGGCAATGATCGAGGCGACTACCATCGTTCTCCGATTGGCAGGTTACTTGATTTTATTCACCTCCTCAAGGGACTTCACGACGAAGGCGGATGTGAAAGCTGGTGCACAAAAATAAAAACGGTTCTTAAATCAAGATACACTTGTATCAAGTGAATTTACTTGGATGGTTCTAGTAAATAAACTTATTGCTAGCCAATTTTCTTGGTTCAAGAAACGCCTTTTTATTGCGTGGAACGCTAGTCTTTAATGGAGTGGCTTGGTGAATGCTTCACAGTTTCATACATTGTAGATAAACTCGAAAAGAGATGAGAAAGTGGATGTTGTCGCGTTCCCAAGCCAAGCCACAAGACCGTGTCTCGGCCTCGCACTCGTCTTCACCGTGCAGTACCTTGCCGTGTCTTGCGCGCACTCACGCCCGTCTCTGTGCAGCTGGGCGTCTATGCGGGGCTCCATGGGGCCCGACCCCAGCGGGGCGCTCACGGACTTCATCGAGGGGCTGGGGCCGGGGCAGCTGGTGGGGCGCCAGGTGCTGGGCGCGCCCTCCCTCGGGGACATCCAGCTCTCCATGTGCTACCAGAAGGGCTACCTGGAGGTGGAGGTGATCCGGGCACGGGGGCTCCAAGCCAAGCCGGGATCCAAAACGCTGCCGGGTGAGACAAAAAGATGAATAATTGTGCTAATTCCAGTAGACTACACTTCAAGTGCTCATGGACCTCTAGAACAGTTTTTTGATTGTACATTGCTTACATCTGCCCAAAAATAACAGTATTTATTGACAATGAAAGTACACTAAAATTAAGTCTGTAGAGAAAGCGCAAGGACACTGTTAGTTTGCTGAGTGCTGCTGTTAACGAGACAAAAGATTTGTTTTAATTCGGCTGAATTACTAGTTCAAAACTTAACTTCCTGTGTATGCTTTGTGTTACAGCACCTTATGTGAAAGTTTACCTGGTGAACGGTAAGCGGTGTGTTTCCAAGAATAAGACGCACACTGCAAGAAGGACTTTGGACCCTCTGTATCAACAACAGCTTATTTTTAGGGAAAACTATGCTGGCTGTGTACTTCAGGTGCGTAACGATCGAGATGGCGCCGCTTTCAGCGCGTTGCTAACTTTTTACCCAATATGTCAGTAGTTACATAAGTATTAAATGTAAAAAAAACAGTGCGTACGTTTTGTTTTATGTTCTCATAATCTGTTCAGTAATTGTTTAGTAAAATATATACTGCATAAATTTTAATAGGGAAACAAAAGCGCAGCTTTTGGAAAACATAAAAACGCTGTTACTACGCTGAGTGATGCACAGCGACGCGAAGGTGTACACTGGTAAAACTAGAGCGTAACTTATGCTAGCGTCTTACAAACATGCGCTTAAAAACGCTACGCTTGAAAGCATAGACTAGAATCTGGGCAGATGAGCCTGTTATACGTTTTTTTTAAGCGTTAAAGGATTACGCTTACGAATAAGCAGAGGGTTATACTACGCTTTAGTTTTACCGACGCATCCACGGCAAAAACAGTTGCTGATTTTTCCAGGAAGCCTCTATGGCTAGTTCATGGGCGCACTCTTAAAACCTTTAAACTTAAAACTTTAATCTTAAAACTCTTAAAAACGAAGTATTTTGAGCATACGTATAACAAACTAAAATACTTTGTTATACGAAGAAATAGTTCGTAAATTACGAAGTATTTTCTTTGTAAGCTTATGTATGCTCAAAATACTTTGTTATACAAACTACTTTTCTTTGTAAGGTCCAAAATAGTTTGTAAGGTTTTCTCAGTGCGATTTCCAGGGACTTCCTGGGAAAACCAGTAGCCGTTTTTATCGTGCCCCTTCGGTGATGCCGAAACCTTTCTGTTTAGCCTCATGAGTCTTGTCTGCGCAGGTGACGGTGTGGGGTGACTATGGCCGCATCGAGGGCAAGAAGGTGTTCATGGGGGTGGCGCAGATCATGCTGGACGACCTCAACCTGTCCGCCATGGTGATCGGCTGGTACAAGCTGTTCGGCACCACGTCCTTGGTTAGTGGACCCCCTTCGCTCGCCCTCTCCCGCCGCAGCTCAGACAATAGCCTAGACTCCATCCCCACCAACCCATAGCAGCAGAGCAGCAGCGGTGGCAGTCCACGGCTGGACCACTGCCACCGCCCTTCGCCACCGCCGCCACCACGACCATCGGCAGCGCGTGCTGACTATGCCTAGTAGTGCCCTGCCCTCCACACCCTACCCTAGGGTAGGTAACTTCCTCATCGCGCAACTTCCTCATCGCGCGTGCTTCCGTGCCGTCACAGCGAATGTGCTTCTTTCTGTAACTAACTGGCTCCACTTATGCATGGTTGCTGACCTACACACTGTCAAACCCAACGCGGAGAGCTCCAGTAACTCTCCATTCTTGGACTTGTGGGAGCTTGCCGTCTCAACGCATAATGAAGTTCTCGTCATCCTTCTGGAAAAGCGAAACCAACAAAAACCGTCTGAGTACTCATGAAGATACTTCAAATTTGTACGATCCATTCATGATATCTATCTTAAAATTAGAGTTCTTAATTTACAAATAAAACTTAGGCCCAATTCTTATTCCACTTATTCAAAAAGGTACCAACAGTTGGATGAACGCTAAATGACTGCTGTGGCCGACCACAAAGAGGAACTTCCTTGTGCATGCTCACGGAGAGTTTGCTTGGTTCGCTTCGTTCTCTCACTGCTTTGCCTCCCCTTCGCCTGCTCCGAAACAGTCAAGATTGGAACAGCCTACGCGTAAAAACTTTTGTCTCTCTCATACAAGGGCCTAAGCAATTTATACTAATTTTGTACTCTGATACACGCTCATTTTGTTGATCGGTACCGGAAAAAAATCACCTGGGTCTTTCGACGGCAATTTTGACGGAGAGAGCACAGGAACGCACCACGTTAGTGATTGTTGGGTGCTCGTAGATATGCCACACTGTTGAGTTTACTGAGAAGTCCAGCACCTGCGATGGGGTCGGTAGGAAGACAGTCCCGCTCGAACCACGAGTGGGACCTTGAATCGGTGGCAGAAAGGGTCTTGACTGGCACAGTGCAGTTGTCACAACACCTCCAGTAGCTCCTCTTTATTTCACATAGTACTGACCTCTTTTTAGAAGATATCTTCTTTTTCTTACTGTTGTTTCACCTGACTGGTTTCACCGAAGATTTGCGTTCTCCCCAATGAGTCCAAGAGGGCTTGACAGGCAGCAGATGTTTCTGAGATGAAAAGAAGCAGGAAAGATCGACGTTGATTCTGACCCGAAGGCCGAAAATAGTCTGTTAGGCAGTGACAACTGTGAGGCCAGAAAGGCCAAATCGGTGAAGGCCAAAACACACTGTTAGAAATTAGCTCCGAAATTTTATGGAGAAAAACCCTATAATCACGTTCATGGAGACTCCATTCATTTTCCATTTTTTTTCGGAGAGATTTTCTCAGGGCTTAAACAGATGTTCTTCAGAGCATTCCTTGGGTCCAGATGGGAGGTAAAATGCAAGTCTTTTCTCAGACATATTAAAGAGGACTTTGCTGAAGCATTTTTTAGTTTGAAATGGTCAAAGGAGGGACAGTCTCATTCGAGCTCATTTGACTTATATCCTGTAGCTTTCCCTTAAAATTATGAAAACTGAGCTCAAGAAGTAGGGGTTCACCTTGCCCTCAAATTTTAACTGGTTGCAAACCTTTTTTTCGTGTTTTTGTGATAGTGAAGCATGCATTTTCGTTCAAAATTCCAAAATTTTTCGGAGAAAGCCCAGAATTTGCATTTATGGAGAGCTCCATGCAGGAGTTTCGGAAAATCTCCATGATTTTTCCATTTTTTTTCGGAATTTTCTGACAGTGCAGTGTTTGCTTTCTTTGCTTTAATGTGTGTTTCTTTTACTGCTATGTTATTTCTCCTGTTCATTGGTGCCATCTTCGGCCTTAAATCTTTCTTTCTTTACCATGCAAATATCGCTCCCCCTCACAGGAAGGCTGTAGCCTGGACCAAAGTTTCGCGCAGTGGCATGGTGTATGAGAAAAGGACACACGTTGCCTAGTGGGTCAATGCGTTACCCGGACGACAGAGGCCGGGGGCACTCACAAAATGCAAACCTTGTCTAGTTAGTTGAAATATGATGTAAAATTTGTTTGGTTGGGCGAAGATCAATTTCAAAGACGAATGTGACAACTTGCTGTTGTTTTCTTCATGCCGCTTGATGGGTTGAGCGTTGCTTACTTTGGTTCCACTGCCTTTTTGCCCATTTGTTCATTTCATTTTTCATGTTTCTCTCTCCCGCATGAGGAATGAAATTAAGGTTATTGTGAAGCGACATCGATTTTCTCACAAGGGTGAACCTCCATTTTTTTTCACCACCAAGAATGTAGAGAAACGAAAACTCGCCTGACAATAACCTTTTGATTGAATTTCAACTCTCCTAACGGTCTTTGTCTCTGTTCACAGTGAAGCACCTCGGTGGCCGCGGTGGGCGCTCCTCGCGGCGAGAGACCCTCTTCCCTGCCTCTCCGCATTGCCACGCCCAGCCTCGCTAGCCTGCCCCGCATCGGCCCTACACTCGTGATTTAGTGTGTTTAGTGCTACGACGAACTTCAGGCATGAAAAATGCGAAAAAAGACAAAAAAAGGACATGTTATAAATAATATATAAATACTATAAAATCTTGGTTTTCTTACTTTAAAAAAATGAGAAACATTGTAAAATATTGTACAGGCAATTTTGTTATCCGTACTGGACGTGAAAGACCAAAACTCTATGCAGCCGTTGCTCGCCCCGCCACGCCACGCCCCTCCCCGTCCCACCCCACCCCGCCACGCCACGCCCCACCGGCCACACCTCTGAGCTTTGCGCCCTCCGTCCAACAGGCCCCCTCCCTCCCTTGTGGAAAACCCGCTGGGTTAACGCACACAGCCAGTTTCCTTTTATTTTTGTCATTTTTTTTTTTATGAAAGTTCAAGTTTCTGCCATCCCACCTTTACGAACTACTTTTGGCCATGTGATATGCACCCCTACAGGTAACACATCGCCGTTGTGTCAAACTGCCCCAGTTTCACGACCCCAGGCGAGAACCAACCAGTGGGCGAGCAAATGTGCCGCGCTTTTTTTAAAAACTAGGTTGTCCTTATTATTCTATTATGGTGCAATCATTTTGACGCTTCATCCAGACTTTATAAAAGTGTTAGATTATGAGAGGACAATGAAAAACAGAAAGAGTGGAAATCAGAGTTATTTCGAACTAGGGTAATTATGTGCATGCTGTGATTTTTTGTTGTTCTTTGTTGACGCATTTGGCAGCACTGTTGCTGCCACGTGTCTGAGAGAGAGTGTGAGAGAGAAAATGTGTGTGTTTTTCTATCAACTGATATCATCTGCATAGGCTGCGACGAAACTCACCTAAAGCCAATGCTGCTAATCCTTTAAGAAGGTTTTTTTTTGCCTCAAATTAACTGTGGCTTTTTTGGAATTACAAAAGTGCTTTGTTAGGAGGATCTCCAATGCGCTAGTGGTGGAGCGACGCGCGCGTGACCTCATGGCGCAGTGGAAGTCTGGAAGTCCCAGGTGGAACTTGAAGGTGCTCCTAATTTGCTTTAGATGACGTAGTGCCCACCGGAAAGCTCGAAAAGCAGGATCATTTTTCTTTTGTCAGTTGGGGCGAATCCGGGTGAAGTGTTTTGTCTTCACATCTGAACATATCCTTACCATTGTATCATAATTTAAATTGTGCTCAAGTATTTAGAAATGTTAGCGCGAGGTTTCCACCAATAGCAGCCCGAGTGACCAGTGTGACCAGTGGCACCACCACTGGCGTCGCTCCTTCATTTCTTACTGGGCAATCAAACCGGTCCGGCCACAAAAACAAAGAAAACATATTGTATTTAAAAATATATAAAAAAAGCATTCTGGATCTGTGATAATACCTTTAACTGCTATGCAGACTGTTGTTAAGCGCTATAATAGTGTTTATATATTGTCCTGGGCCCAGCGAAGCACGTGAGGCCTCGTCGCACGCCAGGCAAACGTTTATACAGTCGGTGTTTCTTTCCTCCGCTCCGTATAGCTTTCGTCGGAAAGCTCTGAAACTCTAGGTTAACACTAACATAAGAACGTCACATGTAAATACGAAGACAATAAATGTATCTATGCAAAAAGACGTGCAACTCTCATAGTTTTCAGTTTTTGTTTACAACTCCTGCATCCCGAGTTTTCTTCCGTGTTTGTTTTTGTTTTGGTTAGGGATTTACCTCGGAACACAGATAGCCAACGCACGAACAGGAACGTCACCGGTGTAAATAAGAAAATTGTAGTAGAAGTAAAGGCAAGTAACTTAATGACATTATTACGAGCACGTCAATGTACTCAGGATTCTGTCTGGGTCCAGCCAAATGCCTTGGCTCGATCAAAGAGGCCAAACCCCCCGACTGGATGAGGAATCTCCGCGCAGAGTGGTACTACTCCTTGCAGAAGAATCGTGCCGTCCCGGCCGGGCTTGGCGATACCCCGCGCCGAGATGGCTGCCGTCTGCAGCAGCTATCTGGGTGCGGGGTATCGCTAAGTCCAGCCCGGGTGGGTGGCACGATTCTTTTGAAAGGGGTAGTATCTCTATAAGACCCCCTATAATGGGAACCAGCACTGTCTTGTCCCAGTAGAGGATAGTGGAAAACAAAAATGCTGCAGACAGAACGGAGGGAGAGAGTGAGCCCGCCGCTTGTTGCTGCCAGCTTATCAATGCACCCAGACGTGAAGAAAATAGGTTGACGCGTTGCGCTCGGTGTTTTGGCTGGTGGACCCGGGGAGGGGAGGCTGGGGTGGCGGTAACTAGCCGCGAGTCGCTTTGCGGCCTGTCACGCTTCGCGCCCTTCGCTCGGCCTCATTTTAGCTCAGAGCAACAACGGCACGCGGCCGCCCACTTGGAGGGGGAGCAACAGGTGGGTGGTGGCGTCGCCGCGGTGTTGCTAGGATTGCCGAGTTGTTGCGCGGCGCGCGGAGACAAGTGAAAAGGGAAACGACATTCCTCGGCGCGGCGTGGTGGCTCTTTGTTCGCTCCGCTTCCCTCCGGTCCAGCTTCCTTTCTCTTTCCCTCCCGCACGTGCCGGACGGCGCGTGGCCTCCATTTCTAAACTAACTCAGCCGGTGTGACAAGTTCCTCCGCCCCTTTTTGAGCAGATAATTCCCTAAATCAGTGGGATAAATCGTCTCCGCCGCATGTACGTTTTTGTTTTTCGAGATATTCGTTGTTTAAACCTGCTCGTCGGCCAAATCCAATGCATGGCCACGATTTCAAACAGTAAAATTTTGAATCCATTTTCGATGAGGGGCCAGAGCAGCTAATTTGGGGCCAGGCGGCAAACCGCGGCGTGGCGTGCCAGCCACGCAAGTTGTGTAACGGCAGTGTTCAAAATTTTGGCGGAAAAAAATGAACAAAAAGTTCCGCCAAGGCAAGCTTTGCAAAGCGGTCTTGCCGTGGACCGGCCGGGGAGGCCGGGCAGAGAGGGGGCAAGGAGGGAGGGGGTGGCTGTGAGGAGTGGGGACTGGCGCGGCGGAGGCGTGGCGGCGCAGGACGACGACAGACGACGACAGACGACGACAGACGACGACAGACGACGACAGACGACGACAGACGACCAACACGACCATGCAGTCCCCTCTCAGCGCGCTGAATGGATGGATGGATCGACGGAATGGAACGGATGAATGGATGGGATGGGATGAGTGGGATCGGATGCAGAGCTAGAGAAGCGGTAGCAAGACCGCTTAAAAACTACCACCCCGGCACGAATATCCTTTTACGAAAAGCCCGCGCGTGCAGTGCAGGTACGGGGGGATGGGGCTCCACGCCACCCCACCCCTCTGGCCGAGCACAGCGCCAGACGCGCGCTGCTCGGCCAGTAGTCGAGACGCAGCGTGGAACGGAGCGCGGGACGCTGCGCGGGAACACAGCGCGGGGAGGCGTGTCAGTCAGTCGGGGCGCAGATCCGTGTCAGTCGGTTGGGACGCAGCACCCGCCGCGTGCTCGTCGCCATGTCGGACAAACCAGTCGGCTTCTACCATTTCTCCTCCATGCTCACGCTGCAGGGGATGCTCAGTGATGATCCTGAGTCTGAGTCAGGCCCATCCCGCCCAGCTCAACAATCTCGCCGGGCCCGTCGCTCTGCTGGTCCAGCTCGCTCTGCTGGTCGAGCTCGCCCTGCTGGTCCAGCTTGTCTAGTTCACCCAGCTGGTCCAGCTCGCCCTGCTGGTCAAGGTCGCCCAGCTCCAGGACCTATGACCGATCCCGACGCTCCCGGGCCTTCCAGCCGCGGGGACACCTCGCCGGACGTGATGCCCGATCCTCAGGTGAGGCTCATTCATCGCCTCGCCCGGCCTGGCCCGGCCTCGACGCAGAGAGAGGCGATGCGCAGCGCTGCACAATTAGGGCTGAACTGCGCTCGGTGCGAGCGGGGGAGGGGGGAGGGGGGGGGGAATCACCCTTATCGTGAGGCAAGGGCTAGGGCGCCCCAAAACCCGTTGTTTATTTAATGGTATGGTGGTGTGATTTTATTCCACGATTAATACTCGGAAAATTTTTCGAACATGATTGTGACATTGTGTCAATTAATTAACACTCGGAACTCCTTATGTAACAAATTTCTTACGCATGGTATAATTCATGAAAATGTTAATTTTAGTATAGCTTATGGCTATCCTAATGTGCCGTTGTGTTGTGGTGACATGTTCGCAAAGTCGGAGGGACACTCATATGCCCGATACCGCTTGTGATGGGTACCCTTTCCGTTGTTTCAACGCGAGGATGCACAGTTTGGTGGCTAATCACACAAGTACCGGATACTTGCAAAAGCTGTTTTCGGTACGGGACGCGTGTCAACTCCAAGCGGGGCCGGCTGAGGCCTACGCCACCCAACACTAAGCAAGAGTAGCGCGAACAACCGACGTGCGGCGTCTCGAGATAGGAGAAGGGCGTCGGGGGCCGCTGCGTGCTACGCACTCAAGTTCCGTTTCAAGTGCGTGTGTAGATAGATTGCTGCAAGGCGCGGCGTGGCGGGCCGTGGCGTCTCGCGAGAGGCGGAGAGGGTCGGGGGTGCACCGTGCGACTCACGCTGAGGTGATCGGCGCGCGCAACCTGACCCCCACTCGATTGCGAGCGAAGGCGCGGGTGAAGGCGCGGCGCGGCACGCACAGGGCCCTCTGCTTATAATTATCTAGCCACACCAGTCAGCCGCTTGGCTGCCCGCACGAGAGCACAAGCATTCTGACACACTTATAATTTGAAAATCTATTTCTAGTTTTGCGTCTAGCTTCGGTCTAGCTGTTTAAATCATCTGCTAAAACCTGAACAGGCAGTTCCTTACATTTACGCTCAAAATAATTCGTAATGTGTTAAGCGTGTACTCTACAGTAACTGTGTTTTGAAAGGCGGAAAAAATTACAAACTTTCGGTGCAATGGAATTTGCCAGGGCAGATGCAAACGAACGATATTTTGGGTGGTATTTAGCGATGAGAATCGAGTGGTTTGATGTCCGCCGCGGTGAGGCACTGTGGGACAGTGCGACAGTGTGCCACGGAGCCTCGCCCATGAATGGGCGCGCCGTGTACTTCCGCGCCAGCAGCGCGGGCGCCGGAAAGAGGGGGGTGGGGGCGGGGGCAACAATATTACTGTTTTAATTTAAAATTAAACAGCTGGTGGCCGAGACCTCGTTTGACGCGAGCCGACGCCACAGGTTTGTCGTGACCTTGTCTTCGCCTCCGTGGAAGACTGTGTTAACCTCACTTCCTCGGCCAAGGAAGGCTAATCCAACTTCACGCGTTCGGGGAAGACTGGGCCAACTTTGCGCGTTCGGGGACACTGAGAAAAATGTACGGTGTTTGCCGTTAATTTATTAACAGCATTTGCCGTACTTCGAAGTACGGTGTTTACCTGGTGTTTACCGTGCCTAGAAGTACAGCGTTTACCGTACCCTTTGAAGTACGGTCTTTGCCGTACCTAGAAGCGTTTACTGTACCTGGAAGTACGGCGATCACCTTAATTTGTACAATGCACTTGTCAAGAGGCAGTCATATCTTGACATTAAAGTCAATTTAGACGATTTTGAAAATTTACTCAAATTTACTTCTAAGTACGGTAAACACCGCACTTCTGAGTACGACAAAATCCTGTTAATAAATTAACGGTGAATACCGTACATTTTTCTCACAGTGGAAGGCTGGGCTAACGTCGCTCGGCCCCAGGAAGACTGGGGTAACTTCGCACTGACCGGGAAGACTGGGCAGTGCAGAAGAGCATTGGGGATCGCCCAGTCTTCCCTGACGACAGCGGAAAACTTCTTTTTGTTTTTGTTTCTCTGTGTTGCAGGAGACCCCACGTGGAAGCAACTCCAACTCCAACAGCTCGCTGGCAGACAGCTGCAAGGGGCCGGAGCTCCAGTGGGGCCTCCCGCTTTTCTGCTGCTCGTCTAGGCGGGAACAGTCAGACCCCGTTGGTGCCCGCTACGCCGGCGAGGGGCCGGAGAGCCCCCACGACGCCATCACCCTGCCACCCCCTCCACCGCCTCCTCGCACGCCAAGGCCCAGGCACCCACCAATGGGCTGGCCTTTCTAGATCTACCCACAACCACTATGCGTCCAGGGACCGCGCCGCAGGCAGAATGCAGCAATGGGAATTGTGGCTGTGAAAGCAGTTTTCAAAAAGCTTTCCGAAAAATGAGTTTTTTGTGAGGCGGCAACCACTTTTGATGTTTGGGCACTCCACATATCAGAAGAGAAAAGATTTCGTCTCATTTCGCAAGATTTCGACGGACTTCACGATAAAATCCGCTAGTTTTTTGGTTCTTTCGGGAAAGAATTCCGATTTCCAGAGCGCGCGCCAAGAAGACAGGATTAAACGAGTGGTTGCTTCCTCGTAAATTTGGTTAAATGTGGAGTTTGCCACATCGCAGCTGAAACTAGTTGTTCGAATTGGTGTCAAATGGAAGTTGAATCGATATTAGTAGACGCCGAACCGTAGGGGTAGCTCGGATTGACATTTTTCAGCTGTAATCTGGCACGTGTTGGAATTTTATTTTCTAACTTCAGATTATTATTGTGTGATATTATTGTGTGATATTATTGTGTGATATTATTTTGTGATGTTATTTTGTGGTATTATTTTGTGATATTATTTTGTGATATTATTTTGTGATATTATCTTGCGATATTAGTTTGTGATATTAGTTTGAGAGTGGTTCTACTTTTATTTTATTCTACTTTATTTCTACTTTTACTAGTTTAGGTTCTGTTAAACATAAACACAAAATGTTTAATTAAAAAAAAATGTAAAATGCCTGAAAAAGAAAAAATAGCACGAAATGGAAATCGAATTAGCTACCTGGTTGCGCTTTGTTTATTGAAACTAAAAATAGCAAGTTTATCGCACTTTCTTCAAAATCATTTCTATGTCTCAAAAACTTTGAAAATTGATCCATGTGCTCGTTTCAACATATTGCGCAACAAACAGCCTCAGCGGTATGTAGGTCACGTCGAGGGTCCAGCGAGCTGAATGGCTGACCGCCCCTGCCCCTCCTTGGCCCCTCCGTACCCGCTCCAGGGGGGGGGGGGGGGAAGTAGCGTGCGCAGGACGCGCGGAACACCATGGCAACTGCGGGGCAAGCTCCGCGAGACAGAGCGCCTCCTGATTGGTCGCACCCCCGCCAATGGAAGCTGCCTCCCGGACTCACCCTGCTGCACTTGGGTGGGGGCGCCCCCACCCAACCCCCACCGAACGCCCACCCAGGCGAGGAGCAGTTTCCGGAAGAATCAACCCTTCACGCGCATTGGGTGAAGTTGTCTCCTAACTAAACTATGCGGGCCGGCTTCTATTCGCTGAACGTTATACGGACGAAGCTAACTTGTAATTAACAGACTGAAGCCTGGTATCGAATTTCTTTCTGTCGATACGGATCTTTCTTTTCATCTCGAAACATGTAAACGCAGATGAAAATCGGGATGGAGTTTGAAGGTCCAGCTCTCAAGCTCTGTTAATAACCTCACATGTAAATACAAATAATAAATTAGTGCAAAATTTCGTGCAACTCGTCGTTTTTATTTTCTTTGCTTTGTGCTCCCTGAATCCTTATTTTTTTCGATGGAGATTTAACTTGTGACAAAACGAGCAGCCAATTTCAAAATTTGCTTTTTGCATGGGCCATGTCATGTTAAAGTACATTACTGCAATCAACGCTTCACAATTATAATGCAACAACGCCAACCATAATGTATTGCTTCTGAAACGAAAGCTCTCCTACCCTTGACATTACGACGCATGGATTGAAAAACACAAGTTACCTTCAAATTTGGCTGGATGGTTAAAACAAAAATATGCCCACTCTACTTTTGGGCGGCAGTCGCGCTTTCCTTGTGACGTTCCGCCGCAATCCGCGCAATCCGCTCTCCGATCTGGCGGGTACGCTGTTTGGGCGCTGGACGCTGCTGGCTGGGCCTGCCGGGCGGAAGGCACCGTTTTGGCGCTTCCTCCACGCGAGCCACGCCGCGTCGGATGCTGTGCGTTGAGTGCTGAGCGGCATCATTCCGTCTCGCTCGCATGGCCCGAGCGCGATGCCGCCAGGCCACGGCGCGGAGCGTGGCCAGGACTGCTGTCCCGTTCTTCCTGGTCCTCGGCCTCGCCGTCGTCGCGGTGACCGCGCAGAAGAAGGTAGGTCTCAGCGGGCGGTCCTGGCAACCCCGCTGTCCCCGGCATCCCTGAGCAAAGCCACATAAGCGTTTAAAGTAAGGGAGTATGGGGCGATTTGTAACAGGGGTGATTCGTAACAAATGCGTTTATTAATTTAAGTGGAGGGAGCAGAGGAAAATCTGAGTATGGCCCCTCTTTCACTTCAAGTAGAGGGTCTTTGAACTATCGAAGCGGATGTGATCGGTGCTCAGGTGTAGTTTTGGAGGGCGTCTGAAATAGGGTACACCGAAATTTCGGCAAACAGGCAAATCTTTTATTTTAAGTTCTAGGAAGTTTCTGTCTGAGGCTCCCCAGGTATGAATCACCATCGAAGTACCGTTGGGGCCTTGAAGCGTGACCCCTTTTCAATGTAAACACGTGGCATAAGTTGCTTTTACTTTGTCCAGTGATAGTTAGGGACGGATTTCTTACGTAACAGGCATTTGGGGTGATTCGTAACAGACCCGTATAAAAACAAGAATTAAAGTAGTTTTTGCTGTCAAATGCTTGAATTATTTCTCGAGTCATCTGCTGCCTAATTCCAATACATTTACACAGCTCGAAAAACATTTTAAAGCGGGTTATTCTATGCTTTCCTCTAAAATTGAAAAAAGTGAGGTTAGGATTGACTTAGCCTATCAGTTAATGCTGAGGCGGTCAACGGCAGCTTGTAATGTAGATTTTTAGACGTCTGCAGGACACCCGAAGAACAACTGGTGGAGGAGATAACATTCCCGACGATGTTTCATTTAATGTGTAGGATGTTTTGAAAAGCCCCATGGCTGTTACAAATCACCCCACGCTGGGGCGATTCGTAACAGCATGCAAGGGTTTGGAAAACGTCTTACATTTCAAAGATTACGGACTCCAGATTGATCCAATGGAGCTGCACAGTCTAGATGAAGGGCCAGACTGCTCAACTGGCACAAGTTTGACACCGATATGCAGAATGTTCTGAATTTTGTATAGAGAATTCCGAAATCTGTTACAAATCGCCCCATACTCCCTTAGTTAAAATGGTTTGTCCACCCCGAAACCAAGCCACAAAGGTGGCCAGAAACTGGGCGACATTTGGCTCCCTAAAAAGGAGCGGGTGACAGTCGCCCTGTTTCAGGGCATGGCAACTTTAGAGTGTACGCTACCGTTTTACCAGTGAAAGGCCCGAAATAGTTTCTAAGCTGCTCGGGGTGTGTCTCGCCTCCAGCCCAAGCCCAAACCGCTCCTGAGCCTGTACCGTAGCAAGCTCGTCCCAAAGATGTACAACCTGGAGACCTGCGCGGACAAGGCTAACTCATTCCGCATCGCGAACTTGTCCGTTGGATTGGGCCGTTTCGGGGGCGAGGTCTACGACCTGGACTTGCACGTGCTGCGGACAGCCCAGCAAATATCACAGGTGGGCTGAATTGCCAGACCAGAGGTGGGCTGGTCTGATCTCCGTCTTCACAGGTAAAACTGCCTCTGAACTCGTGTAAATTTTGTCAGCATGTCAGAAACGTGTGTGAAATCCTCATCAAAATCCACACACCTCTGGGAGCTGTGCGCTAAAAGTGGCCATCACTGGGCACCTTTACCATGACTCACGTACCCTTTTGGGCTAAACTTGAGTTCCCTTTCAAAGGCATTGAGTCCTGTTATGCCCCTAAAGGCGCAGGTTTTATGCCTTTGTTTTGTCAGTAAAACCTCGCGCGTGCCCGGACAGGTGAAGCTGGCTGTGCAGCGCTGCACCGGCGCCGTTTCCCCCGCCATGTGCGAGAAATTCAACACCTGGATCTTCACCAACTCCATCTGCGACATGATGGTGGCCAAGCACATGGCGTGGAGCCCAATGATGCAGTTCATCAACCCCCCGTTCAAATGTCCCATGGAAGCCGTGAGTTGACATGGTAGCATGCACGGCAAGTAAATTCAAGATTCAAGTGTGCGTCGATCACGCTCTTCATGGAGTAAACCGCGAGCCCACGCACTAGTTTGCTGCACGATTTTCAGGCATGCAGCAATAACTAGTTGGTTGGGTGAGAGCGCGTCGGTAACCAAGGCACCCCTCAGTGAGACAGAAGACCGGTGGAGGCAGCCAAAAATCTGCACGCGTTTTGAGCTCCAGAGTCTCCGAACCGATCGGGTGACACGGTGAGACCCCACCAATCATTGCTCTCGGAACGGGGAATCACATTTGGGGGGCTCACACATCCGGTTCCAGTCCTGTTTAGCCACTCTCGAGCCCAAAACGCGTCTTGAGTTTGGGCCACCTACACCTGGTCTTCTCACCTGTGCCCGCGCCTCGCCCCGCCTCGTTTTCACGAGTTTCATTCACCACACGCGGCAGGGCGTGTACGCCATACGCAATGGGTCGATGGACCTGGACCTCGTGGACAAGGCGCTCCCCGGGAACAGCCTCGACAAGTTCATCTGGCTGACGGACGTGCAGCTCTTCGACGAGGCCCGCGCCCTGTTCGGCTGCTTCAAGTGGGTGCTGGAGGCGCGGAGGGTGCGCATCAAGGACGACGGCATCCTCGGATAGGCCTGGGCCTGGGCCTGGGCCGCCACCAGGCCGCCCGACGTCAAGCGCTCTAGGTTTGTAGTGAACGGTTTAAGATCTTTTCCAAGGAGCCCATTGTCGTCCTTTTGCAGCGTTTATAGAAATTGTCAATAAATAGCAAAAATGCCAACCCGAGGCTCCAGCTCTCATGAGAGTGTAGGTGCTTGAATTGTCTCGTTGGGGCTTGTGATGGCAAAGTGGGGCGGCTTTTCACACTGATAAGCGATTCAAGAGACGGGATTTTCTCCATTTTCAAGAAACACACCCGGGGGACAGATGCAGAATGTAATACTGTGTGTCGCTCAATTTAGCGGGGTAAAGTAAGCGAGCCGATTTGTTCCTTGCACAGAGACCTACAATCGGCTCGCTTACTATACCCCTCTAAATTGAACGGTTTAGACGCTGTGACCAGAAAACCCCGGCCGAGCCGGCCGGAGCAGTCAGTCGGGTTCTTTTGACTAGAAGAAGAGCACCTTAAGGACGGCCACGTCTCGTTTTGCAGTGCAGGCGAGCTTGTGTCGGGCCCGAAACGGCATACGATCGTGTGTGGTCTAGCCCGTAATGGTAATGGTAATAGCAGGTAGGCAACCACCGCACTCCAATGCGTGGCAGCGTGGCGGGCTGGCCTACCCGGCAGGCGCTAGGGCTCGTTCGTCGCGTTCGTTCGATTGCCGGATTGGCGCATGAAGGGCCGCGCCGCCGCGCTCTTCACGGTGGGCTCCCTTGCGTTAAAGGTTCCCGCGGCAAAAAGGGCGGACGACGCACTCCAGCAGTGCGACGTGACGCTCCGTTTGACACACTCTCGCTATGCATAGCCCCGGCCATGCCCCGGCCGTGCCTCGAGTCACGCGTTTAAATGACTTGACATGCTCTTGCTCTCGCACATGTATCATCAAGGCTTGCGACGTAGTTTTTATGAAGCGCCGCCTCAAGGGGGGGGGGTTCACTGCGCACGTGTGGAGCTCGATATTGCCGGAGAGCAAACAAAGCGCGCGGAATGCGAGGGCAGACTCACGCGTCGTCTCGCTCCCACGCTCGCACTGGTTTAGTTGACACATGGTGGACATTTTTAGCAGTCCATAAGGGGCACAAGCACAACTAGTTCAAACGTTACCATTAGAGATTTTGCTCACAATGGAATAAAGAACAACGCGCAACGGCCGTGTTTCGATTGCGACGGCCAAGTTTCTCAATTTTGAGGGGTAAAGTTGACCGATGGGTGCTGCGGACAATGACGGAACTTACAAAAGGTATTCTCAAGCCTACAGGGCTCAGGCGACTTAACTCTCCGAACCTTTTTTCATCTCCACAAGCTGCACAGGTGTGGAAGAAGAGGGTCAAGCCGTTAGAATGCTTAAAATAAATTGGAATGACTCTGTTTTACACCTCTGACATGAAAAGGTACGGTACGCCCGGAACTACTCTACAAATCGAAGAGTGTACATGGTATGCTCTAACTGGAGCATGCCTGCAAGCACGCTCTAACTAGCGCATGCCTGCCAAGCATGCACTTACCAGTGCATACATGCCATGTACACGCTTCCTGATGCAGACAACTCCCTATCCCTTATGCACTAGATGCATGCTTCAGTTAGCGTGTACATGGCATGTATGCACTAGTTAGTGCATGCCTGGCAGGCATGCGCTAGCTAGAGCGTGCTTGCAGGCATGCTCCAGTTAGAGCATACCATGTACACTCTTCGATTTGTGGAGTACCCGGTACTCACGCACAGCAAGAGGAGCGATGTGCGCTCAATTGCGACCAACAAGCAGCCGTCGCAGAAACCCAGGTGAAGTGTTCACTGATTCAACGATTTTAAATCGGTTCGTTATATTCGAGGGTTAGAGAGTTGAAGGCAGCCGAGGCAAACCAAGGTAATCCAAAACCATAAGTTTTTAGTAATTTAAATGATAGTGCATTAAAGCCCTTAATTGGAAGGATGAAAATCACGGTGAGTGCCCAAAGGTCAAGGTCAAAAGTCAAGTGCGAGGGCAAGAGCAAGGGCGGAGTGCAAGTGCGAGGGCAAGGGCAAGTGCGAGGGCAAGGGCGAGGGCAAGGGCGAGGGCAAGGACAAGGGCAAGGGCGAGGGCGAGGGCAAGGGCGAGGGCAAGGGCAAGGGCAAGGGCAAGGGCAAGGGCAAGGACAAGGACAAGGACAAGGACAAGGACAAGGACAAGGACAAGGACAAGGACAAGGACAAGGACAAGGGCAAGGGCAAGGGCGAGGGCAAGGGCGAGGGCAAGGGCGAGGGCAAGGGCGAGGGCAAGGGCGAGGGCAAGGGCGAGGGCAAGGGCGAGGGCAAGGGCGAGGGCAAGGGCGAGGGCAAGGGCAAGGGCAAGGACAAGGGCAAGGGGAAGTGCGAGGGCAAGAGCGAGGGCAAGGGCGAGGGCAAAGGCAAGGACAAGGGCAAGGGCAAGGGCGAGGGCAAGGGCGAGGGCAAGGACAAGAGCAAGGGCGAGAGCAAGGGTGAGGGCGAGGGCTAGGCCGAGGAGGCCGAGGGCGAGGCGAGGGGCGTCAGGAGTGGTCATGCTGTAGGGCCCGCCCAGCCCCCCGCGTGGGGTGGCTCTCACAGCGGTCGGGCTGAGTCGGGGGCGTGGCGCTGCGCTTTCACTGCGACTGCTCTTCGCCGATGAGCGTGTTGCGCGGGCTGGCGGGCTGGGGGGGCTGGCCGCACCACCCCCTGGTCCAGGCGGCGCAGCAGCCACGCCAGTCGCGACCTACCCCGCGTCGAGTGAAGGCACCGCAATGTCACGAAAGGAGCTTGTGCGAGAGCGATACGGCGGGGGCGGTATCTTCGACGACGAGGAGCTGGAGGACGACGTCTTCGCGGAGGTCACTCTGCCCACCTCGCAGGAGGAGCTGCAAACCCTGCAGGCTGCTGCAAGCGTTGCCTCAGGCACTGCCTCAGGCGCTGCTCCACCGTCCAGCACGCGTCCCCTGCAGGTACTGACCGGCCCGCAGAGAGCCCTGCAAGCGCTGCAGGCCGAACTGAGCCCTGTGGCTGGCACTGCTGCACCGGCTGGCGTGTCGGCCGAGGAAGACCAGCCCACTGAAAAGGCGCTGCAAGACTCCCACCCTCATCCCGACTGTGCTCCTCCGGCTGCCACGCCGGGAAAGGCCAAGGGGGGGCTTCTCGCCCAAGAGGAGGCGCTGCAACTCGAGGACTCCAACGCTCATCCCGGCTGCGCTCCACCGGCTGCCACACCGGCCCAGGGAGGGCTGGGCGCCCAAGAGGAAGAGCTGCAAGTGGAGGGCACCAACACCGACTCTGACGCCAGCTCTACTCCATCGGTCATCACGCTGGTCAGCGTGGAGGAGGTGCAGCAACAGGCACAGGAAGTACTTCCCGCTCCAGAGGAGGTGTTGCAACTGGAGCAGTCTGGCTCAGGCTCTGAAGCGGGCTCTCCTTCGCGGGCCGGCATGTCGGCGGATGAAGACATGCTCTCCCTGAAGGAGGTGTTGCGAATGAAGCCGACCGAACTGCGCACTCCTTCGCCGGCCCACTCCTGGCTTTACCAAGAAGGCAACTTCCTGACGCCACCGCGGCGCAGTGGCATGAGCGGCAGTCCGGTGAGTTTCATCCGCCGCCTGCCCAGACGGGGTGCAGCGAGACCAGGGATCCTTGACTGTTCGTTTTAAAGTCATTTACAAAGTCATTTGGTCAATAAGGAAATACAAAGTTTGCTGTGAGTGAGAATGAGAGAGCGGCGTTGCTTGCTGTGATGTGAATTCCTTTTGGCAGAAGGTGTCAGTCCGAGGCCAGTGCGTGGCGTTCGAAGTTTAGCTGCGATCCTGTCTCTTCGGTACCAATTCACCCTTGGCTACCACTGTTTCCGCCCTTCAAACGCGACGAGACAGGCTTCCGTTTACAGTATGGTTTACACCGGACTCACTTGCGTTTAAGGCTCCCCGTGAGCTAGAGGGCGGCGGGGCCTAGCGATGAGGGCTCGGGGCGGGGGGGGGGGCCTTGGCCGTGGCAGTGGCGGATAAGCAAAGAAGCAATTTTCGTCTACCTGTGGTAAGTGTGCCACGTTGCCTACCTTTTGGGCGGCTGGTTGCGACAGCGAGTGGGTGGGACGGAGCTGACGAAGGTGCCTGGAGGAAAGGGGGGGGGGGGGGGGGGGGGGGGGGGGGGGGGTAGGGTGGTCCAAAAAAAATGAAGTTGCTCGGATCGTCCAACGCCGCCCGGATTTGGATTCTACATCGAAAAAAATGAAATACGTGTTTTTTCCTTTTTCGAAAAAATGATTTTTAGGACCTCCTCAAAGCCCTCAAAGTTTTTAACAGTGCTATTAATAGGAAGAAAATCGTAACTTGGTCATTTTTTGACCGATTTTCAAAAACGATACGGGGATTTGTTCGTTTTTGAATGCTTATTACGAAAAAAATATGCCCAACCCTCTTTTTGGTTTGCCTAACTTTAAGGGGCAAAAAATGACTAAATTTCGGCCCAAATTGGCAAGAGTTTCAGTTTGTAGGCCGCTACAGCCACTCCAAGTCCACCCTGTCAGCATGGCGGGGTGCCCCCACCACGAGGCAAGCCCCATGAACAGAAATGAGATGCCGAGTGCAATTTGCCTACCTCACAGGGGCATCAAATTGTGGATTTTTTCGAAAATCTTTCAATAGTGGTGTCTCTTGGGGCCGCTGGGCACTCAGATGGGCACCCTTTCTCCCGGTTCGTTACCCGCACTACGTGATAAGAACAAACAATAGGAATTGACTGTTGAGCACCTGATGCCTACCTCTCAGGACCAGAAAAACGTGAAACTTCAGAAAATTCCTTCATTTTGATGGCTTTTCTTGTGGCCTTGCGTGGTTGCGGTTCCTCGCGTCAGCAACGTCCATTCCTATTGTTTGTTCATATCACGTAGTGCGGGTACCGAACCGGGTGAAAGGGTGCCCATCTGAGTGCCCAGAGGCCCCAAGAGACACCACTATTGATAGATTTTCGAAAAAAATCCACAATTTGATGCCCCTGTGAGGTAGGCAAATTGCACTCGGCATCTCATTTCTGTTCATGGGGCTTGCCTAGTGGTGGGGGCACCCCGCCATGCTGACAGGGTGGACTTGGAGTGGCTGTAGCGGCCTACAAACTGAAACTCTTGCCAATTTGGGCCGAAATTTAGTCATTTTTTGCCCCTGAAAGTTAGGCAAACCAAAACGAGGGTTGGGCATATTTTTTTCGTAATAAGCATTCAAAAACGAACAAATCCTCGTATCGTTTTTGAAAATCGGTCAAAAAATGACCAAGTTACGATTTTCTTCCTATTAATAGCACTGTTAAAAACTTTGAGGGCTTTGAGGAGGTCCTAAAAATCATTTTTTCGAAAAAGGAAAAAACACGTATTTCATTTTTTTCGATGTAGAATCCAAATCCGGGCGGCGTTGGACGATCCGAGCAACTTCATTTTTTTTTGGACCACCCTAGGGGGGGGGCTATCACAGACGCAGTGCCCGTGTCACAAAGTGCCTCTGCGACATACACGGGGGGGGGGGGGCAACGCAATATTTACCCTCCCTCAGCTGGAGAGCGGCCGCAGCGGTGCTTTCAGCAGCACCGCCCAGTCCCAAAAAACCATGGAGCACATGGGGTCCCATGGATGACTTCCCACGAGACGATGATCTTTCGCCATGGAAATTTAGGAAAACACCACGAGCACTCTTACACCACGGCATGGGGCGACAAATAATTCCGTGGTGAAAGAACCACCATGGTGTCTATCGTCATGGTGAAGCATGGCTTCCCCATGGTGGCGCTCGCACCATGGTAACGTGCTCTTGCCCGTGCGTTGAAGTCTCCAGAGATTATTCAGAATCCCTCTGCAACTTGAAAACTACTAGAGATAGAGTGACGGCGACCGCTCCATCGTGTTCAGCATCGAATTTTTACGTGGGTGAAGAGAACAGATGAACGCCTCGTGTCTCTTCGCTTGACTTTGTGACAAGGCACTTGGCACGCCATGTGTACGAGGGATGTCATGGGACCAGTACACCATGCAAACCAGACACCATGGAATTTTCTCATGGTAAAAGGGGCCAAAAATGAGGGGTGTTTTGGACACCATGGGATTTTGCTTCCCATGCAATCCCATGATGTCCCATGCACCATGGGACCCTCCATGGTTTTTTAGGACTGGGCGCGCGATCGGCAAAATCGTCGAGATGAAATCATGAATAGCTCCAATCCGCGCGTACACGCATCGCGACGCGTCGGCCGCTTGGCATGACGAGTTTTGAATTTGCGGATACCGGAACGCCGAAAGCGCAGTGATCTGGGATCCGAGCGAGCGTATCCTCTCCGCAAGCAGTGCACACTCCCTCTGCGGCGTTACTCACGAGAGCACGGCAGTCCTCTGGGGCTCTCGTCGGTGACGCTTGTATGGAAACTCTGTATTGACGACGGGGCATGACTTGTGTGTTGCAGGCGTCCGCCCCCGGGAGCTTGGGATCGTTCAGCGTCCTCTCCTACACTTCCCACACCTACCCCTTCATCGGCTCCAACTTGAACAACACGGACACCGGCGCCGGAACCGGAACCGGCAGGCTCTCCAGGCTGTGGTCCTGGTGCCGCAACGCCTTCCTCTCCTGCTTCAGGTCCCTCCGCCGCCGCAGAACAGAGGAGGCTCCCATGCTGATGGTGCGGCCGGCCTCGCCGTCTCTTCGCTCCAGCTGGCGTCTGAGTCCGGAGAGTGGCTGTGTTTACCCTGGCGATGGCGAGTGAGTCCGGAAGGTATCTTGTACAGTGAGGGTGCGCCCTGCGCCCGACGGCAGATTCTTATGCCAAAAGTGTACTTTATATATAGCCAAGTATACTTTTGGCTACATATTTATATATGTATATAGTATATAGCACTCACCGTTCGGTGATTCTAAATTCATCAAAAAGTTATTGTGGTTATTTAGTCGCTGTTTTGCGTCGTAAAAGAAAAAAATTATCTCGTGAAATTGTAACTTATTATTATTCAAAGGTATGTAGCGTCGTTTACTGAGGACGCGGCCAAAAATTTACTATCTGTATTTCTTGCATCATATTATCTTGAAGAGTGATTCCATCCGGGGAAGCCGAAACAATGCATAGGCCAAAATGATCTGGCAGGCGCTGGCAGGTGTGTGTGTGTGGGGGGGGGGGCATGGACACGTAATCCTGATCGAGGGACTCAGATACTATGCCTTGTCCAGGCTTTATTGAATTCTAATTTCACTTCAGAAGCTATTTGTTAAACGCTTAGCCTATTTTAAAAAAAAACAAATTAGTAATGAACGGGCTTGCATCTCAACCATCTTATTCAGCGTAGGAGCCTATACCGTTCTACTGTAAGCTTTGTGTTGTAAAGTGTGCGTGTGTGCATAAGAATAATAAAGTTGAGTCCTAGATCTTTGTTTTTCATTCATACGCCCGCTGTTTATGTTCTCCAAAAACATTAGGCAGCTGTTGCAGTTGCAGAAACAGTTGCTGTAACAATGTTGAATGAACAACATGATTGGCTGAGCGATAGCGAAGCCCTTGCCGTGTTTGGGCGCTCCGAAAAGTGACTGGTCGTGCGTCTGTCTGTCTGTCTGTCTGTCTGTATGTAATCACTCACGTTTCTCAGCAACTACAGAACGAATAGTATCCAAATTTCACACCTGATGTCTCCTAAACATCCTACAGGGGGAGTTTATCTTAGATTAACAATTATCATCGTTTGAAATATTCAAAACATCATTTTGAACTAGGTAATTGGCGTGTTTAGGTTGGTAGCAGCGTGTGGCAGACCAATTTCTCATACCGGCTGCCGCGCTTGCAAGCCGTCTGCAAGACGGGACGGCACTTATGCAAATAAACAAACTAAAGAGCAAAGGGGTTCTCAAATAGGTACTGAGGTAGTTTTTTAACATTCTAGAATGATTGAAACCCTTCCGGGGTGTCAACAGAGGAAAATATAGAAACTAAATGTGAGAATGGTTTACGTGTTTCGTTCCCCTCTTCCCCCTCCCCCGTCACAGGAGAACAGGTCAGTGCAGTGTAGTTGTGGATTGTAAATAGAATGTTTCTTTGCCTTTGTGTGCATCTACTGATTTTATTCTCTCTGATACTATCCTAATTTTTAAATTTCATAGTAAAAAAATCAGGTAAATGCATGAATAACTTCTGTTGAAATTAGAAGACATGTTAATTGTCTTGGTTTGTCTCGGGGAAATGACACTCTATTGCAATGCTGCAAGCTAACATAAATATTCTAGTACTTACATCTATTGATTAAAAGAATCCATAAATAGATGTATTTTGTGCAATAAATAATCCATATATTTAGTGCTAACAGATTTTGAACTGATATTGGGTTCAATGAGACGATTCAGGTTTTGAGCGGTGGGTGACTTGGTAATTGCTTTTAATGGGACGATTCCTTTAACTTCACCAAAGCTTGTGTCCAACAGCTGGAACCAAGTATTGGTAATGATTTAAAAGCTGGCTTTCTTAATGTAAGCCCAATGTTAATGCTACACTGTATTCTTTTACTCTAAAGATAAAATATCACGAGGCATGAATAAGGTAAATTAAGTTGGCGTATTGAGCAACAAGTGGCCTCTGCATTTGACTTCATGAGACGATTCACTGAATTTGACACAACTTGTTCTCCGTCAAATGCTTCAGATCAGCCTGCCCTAAACTGAGTCACTTAATGAAAACTATGATTACATATTCCATTCTGTATTGTTTATTTCACTGGTTTTAAATGAAAGAATGACAAAAGGCTTCTCAAATATAACTAATAAATTTGTGAATTCATTAGTTTGAAGAAAAAGATGTATCGAATAGTGAGTCAAGCAGACGAGTAGCTAATTAAGCGATTCAATGCTGGCAATGGAATGTTACTCGACTGAAGGAATCGCATTGGTGTGGCATTAGGGTATTGGTGACGACAAAGGGTGATCCATGAAGACCAACCAAGACCCATTCTTTACCGATTATTGATCAATTTGATATCGATATTTTTCAATCGAATCTCATATTGCTTCTTGGAGTTTTTCGAGTGCTGATTATGAAAACCCCTTCCATTTCTACTCCAGACTTATATTTTCATCTCAAATTAGGTCATTTCGGACCAAAATTTTCAGGTCGAGTTTTATATTGTTTCCTGCAGTGTTTGATGAGCTGAACTCAAAAATAACTTCCAAATTTTTCCCAGACTCACGCTTTACCTAATTTTGACCAAATTTGGACCAAAATTTTTGAATTGAGTTTGATGTTGATCCCAACATTTTTTTGTGTGCTGATAACGAAAATCACCTCCATTTCGACTCCAGACTTATATTTTCACCCCAAAATTAGGTCATTTTGGACCAAAATTTTCAAATAAATTTTTTTATTGTTTCCTGTATTTTTTGGTGCCTGAACTCAAAAAGACTTCCAAATTTTTCCCAGACTCACGCATTACCGAATTTGGACCAATTTTGGAAAAATTTTTGGAATCGAGTTTGACTTGACCCCAAACAGTTTTTTGTGTGCTGATAACAAAAATCACTCCCATTTATACCCCAGCCCTCATTTCATCAATATAGCCCACAAGTGCAGCCGAAGTCCAAAATTCGCCCCCAGCCACACTACGCGCCCACACAAAACGGCGCGTACCCCTAGTTTTAATTGGTGGTTCATAGTACACCTCCCACTAATCTGTCACAAGAAAAAACAACAAAAAAACAACATATGGACAGAGCGTCTCAAAATTCACTCCATCCCATTGTGTGTCAAGAGAAGGAAAACACGACTAAAAGTGGCTTCAAGTTCGATTCACAGAAGAGCACGAGGGGGAATACCAGTCTCAGCAAATATGACGTCCGATTCCTTAGAATGTAATTCGAGAGTCACGCTCACCAGCAGGTGACGTCACTTCTCGTTGACAAACGGTGGACTTAGTTTTCTTTAGCACTTTGCAAATCCAGCCTTGAACCAGCAATTCTCCTTCAAGGACGCCAAAACGCCGGTTGGGGCCTGCTGCTGACTGACTGCCCAGGTAAGGTGACTAGGGCCGCAGACATCTTTTGAGTCAAAACTGATTTCGTTTCAGTACATTCAAACCAATTCGGTCCATTAAAAACGTTTGATCTGCCATTGTTAAATTATTGTCACTGAATAAGATTTTCTGCGGCTGAAGAAACTGTATCTTCTGTCTGACATCGCATGTTGTACGCTCCCTCCCTTCTCTCCCCCCTTTTCTCGATCAGATCGATGCGTCTCGCTAATCAGGAGTGCAGATGTCTGGGCCAGCCGCGCGATAGAGCAATTTGTCGCTCTTCCTCCGGCTATCGCGCTTCCCTGGAAAGAGCCGAGGGCCACGGAGACTGAGGCGGGAGAGAGGGGGGGCTACTTCTCCGAACAGGAGTGAGCGCGAGTAGGGCAGACCTGGGGCCGGAGAAAGGGGGGCGGGGGTCCTAGCTTCTTACTCTGAGGGGAAAGGGAGGTTAGAGTCTGTGTCCGTTGAAACTGGGGCAAAACCAGTGACGCATGCGACCAGCTTGGCAGACCACCGGGCCTTGGGCAAGATCAGCTAGCTGTAACAGCCCTGAGGCGACACACAGGCGGCACGGCGGGACTCCCCATCCACACTGAAAAACCAAACGTGGTCTAGACCACACCAACTGGTGTGGTCAAATGGATGCCATTTGACCGCATCAGTTGGGTGGTCTAGACCACGTTGGGCGTTTGGTGTGGTCTAGACCACACCAAACGTGGCCAAACGTGGTATAGACCACACCAACTGATGCGGTCAAAATGGCATCCATTTGACCACACCAATGATGCGGTCTAGACCACGTTTGGTTTTTCAGTGCATTCATTCGCGGGGCACAAAGGTGAGTGCGGCAGCGGACCGCTTTCAATTTTGGTATTGACTCGGTCGTGGTGGACACGTCTCCCGGGAATCGGGCTGTTTGCGGTAAAGATGGACAAAATGTCGCAAAACCGTTTAAGGTTTCAGAATACCGAGCCTCGGCCAGTTCTCGGCATATGTTAGCAGCGGCGCAGCACTCCAGCGTACACTTCATAGTTCGCAGGAAAGGGTGTCCGAGCGGGCACAAGGCTGATTCCGAGAGTCGTTTTCGTCGCTCTGTCTCTTTCGCGCCTAAAAGGGACGCCCCACGAGTGCGAGGAAGACAGAGCGAAAGAAGCGACTCTCACTATCAGCCTACAGGACGGCTACGAGTGGTCTTATTAGAGCGCTAGTCAACAGGTGGAGAGGCGGGGCGCTGAATAGGGGGAGGGTCGATGGGTCGATGCCGCCAGGCAGCACTGCAAGGCGGGTGGCAAGTTTGCTTGACACAAAATTAGAAAGACGCTTTAGGCCTGGCCCTGAAATACTCCCCAGCTTGCCAAAACTAGGCATTAGGCGGCCGAAGCGCCAAGTATTGGCAAGCTGATGAAGATGTGCCAAATTTTGGCATTTGAAACGGTCTGTCAATTTTGTAGCAAGAAAACTTACTCGCAGCGAGCCCGGGCCGCGGCAGGGTCCCTGGCCGCGGCTCTCCGGACCGCCGGTGAGGTAGGCCACCCATCGTGCACACGGCGGTCGGCCTACGGCGCGCAGAGGAGCGCGGCGATACCCCGTGCAGACAGCGACTGGGGGGGGGGGAGGAGGAGGAGGAGGAGGAGGAGGAGGAGGAGGAGGAGGAGGAGGAGGAGGAGGAGGAGGGGGAGGAGGAGGAGGAGGAGGAGGGGAGAGTATGGCATGTTTTGGAGCGGCGGGCTTTGTTTTGGAGCGGCGGGCTTTGTTTCCTGCCCATAAGTTGCACCGTTCTTTCTAGTATATCGAAATCATTTTTTTTGTGAGGAACCCAACAAAGCATTGTGGCAAAATTGATTTTGCAATTGCAATTGAAGTACTACTGCAAAAGGCCTTTTGGTCGCAAAATCGATGCGGTGGCTGTCGTAAAATAATTAGGTTGGGTCAGTTGGGGTAATTATGGGACACGGGGTAAAAATGGGACAGCTGATTCTTAGTCAAGAATCGAGATTTTAGAACTTGTGCGGTAGCAAATGTTATTTTTTCAATAAAACTATCTCATTTGGTACGTCATGCGTTCAAAAATGTCAAAGCTGGACTAAGAATCAGCTGTCCCATTTTTACCCCGTGTCCCATAATTCCCCCACCTGACCCCAAGAAACTAAAATGTTTAGCGCCACAAGATGCGGTAAATGTGGAAATTGGGACCTCACGCAAAAATTTCTAGAACAAGTTAGCAAAATGAAAAGTAGCGTTTCCGTCTTTACACTGTATCAAAATTGTTAATGTGTGTCAAAGATTAAGAAAAGTAAATATAGGA